AACAGTACCCTTGTCACGTTGTGCACAGTCATTTTTGCGCGCAAACACTGACTTAACAGTTAACAGGAACGGCCGGAGATAAAAGCAAACATTTAGATTTAATACAAGATCAGTGAGAGTACGCTCGTAACTCGTTTTATTATTTTAAGTGGTGAAAACCAAAAGGGTATTTATAATGTAGCTTTTACGACATTTTACAAGAGAGCAAAACGAAAATTGTATTATCAACGTGATCGTCTCTTTTTAAAAACTGATGACAAATTATAAGACTAACGCAGTTGGAAAAATATCTCGCTGCAAAAATAATTTGTGATAATTTATAGTATAATTAATCAAACACTAAACACTATACACTATACAGTATAAGTATAACAACATCTCAGGTTTTATCAATATCAATTAAAAATACATACTCCGATAGTTTATACCAATATATTACAGTATATTATATACATATATATATTACCATAATATAAAGTATAGATATATAATTCACTTAACAAGACATAGTATAAAAAAAAAATGGAGGACGTTAATTTTATATTATACATATCAACGTTGATTTTAATTTTGAAACAATGAAAATCTCTTATAATTAACAGTTTAAAAATAAGTAAAGAAAATATAATAGAAATATTTTTCATGCGCTTATTGCAATAGCAAAAAAATCAATATCAATTAAGCGATCATCCAACTAAAATGTTTCATTATTTATAATAAATGTTGTATATCGAATCGATTTAACTAATTACCCAAAATTAAATGTTCTTTACATGTTACAATTATCATAAATCATATTTATTTATTATTATTTGTAATATCCAACTAAAACCCAATTATAATATAACCTAACAAAATATGTCATCTAAATCTTGACTAACTAAAAGCTCATGAATTTATGATAGCAAAATAGTTTTTTCATTTCTATTATAGCCCTAATTTAACGTCAACATCGCGAAGTTTGAAATGATCTGTTAATAGCTAATTATTAAGGCGCAAAATGTAGGCAATATGCCAGTTTGTTAAATACATTTTCAACTTATTTTCCGGTTAATTTATATTAGCTAATAGCTTTAGGTGTTAGAACATAATTTTTAGCATATAGAGGTTTTTTTTAAGCGGGTTTTAGTAATTTTGAGGGAGAACGACTTCCCGAAGTGGAATCGGAAAATCGCTTTAAATACATATAAGCAATAGTCATAGAGATTTATACTTACATAATAAAAAAAAATAAACGTAAAAATACACTTTAAATGCATACAATTTAAGTACGTAAGGAAAGGGCTCTAGCTCCCACAACCCCCCTCCCCTTGCATCCGCCCCTGAAAATATCAGATGTGTGAAAACATTAACCATAGCAGCGCTTGTATTAGATACTGAATAATGTGTTGATTTGATGTATGAATACATGCATTATATTTTCAATTAATTAATCTAATTGCTGCTTATATTATAGTTATCTACTCAACTCTCAAATTTTCTCGTTTATTGCCTCCGACCCCTTTGAAATATATAACATTGTTGACCTATAACAATATAAAAACACACATTTTTAGTTAATTAAAGAAATCACAGTGATAAAACAGTTAAAAAAGAGAATTATTGTACTTAAAAAAACTGTCATGTTAGTGCGATGTTAGGTTTTATAAAATAAGAAACAAGCATACAAACAAATTGGGAAAATCAAAATTAGTTTTTTCTGTTAAGATAACTCATATTTATCGATGTTCAATATTTTTGACAATTTTAGTTAATCAAAAACTATTAAATATTATGGTTAATCAAATATTGGCCTTTAAGACTTTTGTTAGAACATTTTTTTATCATAATTATTTGTACATAGGTACAATTAGTTGTAGGTATCTTCATTAGCGAAAGCATTACACGGAATATATATTTATGAAGAGTGAAAGTGTCAAACGTTCCAAGTGCCAAAGTATAAAAATTGAACTTTATAATTTGATTTGTATTTTATTCATTACCGGAAATACTTTAACATATTTTTGAGTTTTAAATATGATTGTTTTTTTTATAAATAACTATTCTTTACTTGAAAAATTAAAAAAATGGTTTCCGGTAATGAATAAAATACAAATCAAATTATAAAGTACAATTTTTATACTTTGGAACTTGGAACGTTTGACACTTTCACTCTTCATATATTGTATTCGTGTAAATTAAGTTGTGTTGTTGTTAGGTTTATTATTTAAAAATTTGCATACTTCTTAAGTCGTTATAGAGGAGAAACATTGAATACAGAATGATTCTTCGTGCAAGCGTCCACTTTTAATTCTACATTTAACTAAGTAATAAGCTATCTAAGAAAATGTGTATGTGTTTTTTTTGTAACGAAAATTTTTACTCAACAGTTGACAACTTGAAATAACTTTAAATAGTTTCTGAAAATAGGTACACACATTTTATTCAAGAAGTTTAGGCAAACATTGTAATGGACATGATTGGCGAATCATCCTGTATTACAACGGTAGGTAATGCGAGTTCAGAATATTCATAAAAATATGCAAGTGAGGGTCATCAAGTTGATCCAAGTATATTATATTGTCATGCATAATGCATTAAATATGCGTGTAGATTTATAAAAGGGCTTATGTTTACCAATTCCGAAACTCGTCCCTAAAAAAATACAGTAGAACATCCGGTTTGCTGGTAGATATCCTTTGGGAGCATAAAGATAATGTGGCTTTAGAAGACAAATATACTTTAGCTTAGAATTGTGTGTAAAGGAAGTAGTATTAATCGTTTCTTTCTCGTTTTGCCTGCTCTTGGGTTAATTGAATTTAATAACACCACTGTGTATTATTTCTTATCAATTACTTTTGCACTCTTTATCCGTTAAACCTTACAGGTATATACTATGAAACTAAATTGAAATTAATTATCTATAATATATCAATATAATTAGATACCTATACCTAACTAAAATCCAATACTACTTTATTACAATATTATGTTTTAATACTTTACATTTATGAAAAGTATCTATTAATTAGAGTTGGGCATTATTCAAATAATTTTTCATCTACAATAAACCACACACAAAACCATTGTATTACTATTCAATGGTTTGTCTTTCCAACATATTATGTTACTTATTGGTTAGTTTATAAATGTATAGTTTGCCATCACAATTTCAATTTAATAACGTAACACCTGTAATGTCCATCAGGCTTCGGGCCACGTCCTACTGCATTATTATAGAAAACTACAATTAAATAATAAAAAACCACACAAGAGTCACACAACGTCCCCAGTAGAAAGAGCATGTAATGTACCTACGGTTCACTTAAGTTCTACACAAAACCAAAATAGTGTAGAGCTTTTCCGGGCGGTAAGCGCGCATCTGTCGGGAAACGGTGCACTTAACCTAACCTCCTCATATGCGGGTCCCAAGCGGTTTGCCCCCAAGGCGGCGCCGGTGATTTTTTTTTTTTTGGTTAACCGCGATTACCTCGGGCGATTCAATTCACCGACCCCTCAATTTTGGCACCACCTGCGGCCATGCTCGACCGAGAGGGGTGTTTTTTTTTTCGATTTAGACCCCCCTCGCCGAACTTAAACGTCCCGGCAGTAGTACTCGGCCAGCCCGAGGACACGGGCCTTTGCCACACTAAAATCATAGTAACATATTAGCTATTACAGGAATTCGATTTACACGCAATTTACCTTTGCGCCATTTTTGCACAAACCAATACAAATCGAGTGAAATCATTGTTCAATTCAAACGATAACATTACCAAATAGCCACTTTTGAAGTCGAGACGAGGAGCTAAAAATATAGATTTTTGTATGTGTGCCTGGACCTACGATATCTTTTGAACGATTGGGCCAATTCTTTTTTATTTTTTTTTATATAGTATTAATAATCAGAAATCGTATCTAAAATGTACCCACTTTATGCAGTCCAAAACAAGCATTTTTCAATTAGTACACACATCATGCTTAACTTTTTGAAAAAAAAAAAATCAAATTCGTTCCAATTTTGTTTTGAAATCCTTCAACCCCGAAAAAATATCATCTAACCCTTTACCCTACAAAAGCTTTTTTCGTTTGTTTTGTTTTTAGCCTAAGTATACGATTTTTTACAACAATTTTTGTTTTCATTTTTTTGAAAAAACGATTACAAGTACAATAATTTTTTATAAAACTTAATACCTGTAGTTACTTGTTGATATATACTTATTGCTCTTTACAATTTCCGTTCATGTATATAGTAGGGTATACAGGGTGGTTAGTTTAATGTAGGAACTTGTTCTAAATCGTATGTTTTACAATATTATGAATTACCCCATCGATCAGTCAAAATGTTCAGTAGATTGTTCTCAACTCAAAAAGCGCATAAAATACATATGTTACTAAAAACATTACCATTGTGAACACAAATATTTTTGTTTATAAAATTATTCATACTTATACTTAATAGTTTTTACTATCTACGGTTTTGCATGAAAGCATTTATTTAATAGTGATTTTTATCATTATAATAATTCCCAAGAACTCGCTAAGCCCAATTCACTCCATTCTCACTATGCTGGATATTTTTTACTGAATATTTTTTATCTGTACTATCATTTTTTAAATTTATAAATAGAATAATATAAGATACATAGATACAACAAATAATGAATACACGTGAGATGCAACTATCCAGTGATGACATTTCTCCTGCTTAACTAGTTTTTCAAAAATAGTCTCTAATTTATTGTGTATGTCATGCCAAAAATGTCCCTTAATGCAAAATGATGACAATATTTATTTATATTGTTACAGACTACAGTTTTATGTTTTTATTTACCTTAAAAATAGCTAGTAGGATTTTATGCAGCTGTTATACAACTTTAAAACACAAAATACTAGAAATTTCAAATATATTTGTAAGCATGTACTATTTTACACGCATATATATGTTTTTAAAACAACTAGTAGTTGAACTTGAATGAAATTTAAATTTACCATAATGGGGAAAAAACAAAACAAGCAACTGAATTTTGAAAATGAATAAAATGTTTTTATCGGAACTACCAACTGAACATTTATCACAGTATAATTAATTTCGGTAACAAAATAACAAATTTGTAACAAAATTTAAAATATAATTTTACCTTACAACAATATTATTTTTTATAAAAATTTAACTAACATAAATCATTTTTAAAAACTATTTGATCCCATGAAATAAAATCTTTAACCAATTTAGGCCAATGTATTTACTTGATTTCCTTTAACATATCCACAAGTATTTTCTCTAGTTTACGAGAATCGGCAGCAAAATTTCTTATGCCTTCGGACAATTTGTCATTTGCCATTTTGTCTTCATTCATTTCCCAACGGAATTTTGCTTCGTCCAAGTCAACTTTTTCCAAGTCAGCAGCTTTACCTTTAGCCAATAAATTAACAATTAATAATACAATTTTAAAAACTAAAAGAACAATAACAATGTATACCAACCATTTTTAACAGACAAGTATTCTGTCAGCGGTTCATTTGTGTTGTCCAATTCTTCTAACAGCTTCGGACTAATAGTCAACAGATCACAACCGGCCAGCGCTTTAATTTCTCCTAAAAAAATAAATATCATATTATTACAGCGGTTTGTTTTTTATTTATTAAGTTTCAATAATAATTCAAAAAAATGATAATGATCAAATTGTAATTTATTACCAGTGTTACGGAAAGATGCTCCCATTACGACCGTCTGATAGTTGAACTTCTTAAAGTAATTGTAAATATTAGTAACCGAAACGACACCCGGGTCTTTTAAGGGTTCAAAACTTTTCTTGTCGGTGTTTGCGACATGCCTGGAATGATACAAACACAAATTATACTATACTTTAGTATTGTTTTTAATTTTTTTAAACTTACCAATCCAAAATACGTCCAACAAATGGAGATATTAAAGTAACACCGGCTTCAGCACACGCAATCGCTTGGTATATCGAGAACAACAAAGTTAAATTACAATGAATCCCATATTCTTGCTCCAAAACTCTGAAAGTAATCAATTATATTCAGTTATGTAATCATAAGTGTATACCCTACTATGCAGTGCTTGGAAAATTAATTTAAAAAAGGAACTAGTTCACATTCAATTTGTTAAAAAGGAACTAAATCTTTTCTTGTGCCAGTTCAAGGAACTAGTTCCTTTCCTCGTTCCTAAATGAGGACTATTTTTTGTTCTTCAAAATTTTTAAATTTGATTAATATAGTTTTATAATAATCATTTGTTTAATTAGGTACTGTTGTTTTGTTTTTCAATTTTTTAATTTCTTTATTTCATACAAGTTAATTTATACATTTATACTTTATTTTTAATTATTTCATATGTGGAAGGTCCATTTAAAATGTTTTAAATAAATGTTGTTTAAATGTGAAGTAAATTAAAATAAAAAACATAGTTAAATTTGTATATTGTTTGCATTAAATTTTAATATAGTATTGACTCTATAAACACCTAATTTTCTTCACAGGGGACAAAATAATAATTTATTAATAAATAAAAAATAAAAATGTACCTATAAGTGTTTTACTTAAGTAATTACTAGTACATATGGTAAATTTTGAAACTTCAACTAAAAACTTTTTCTCTTAATTCTAAAAATGACATATTTAATAAAGGAAGGAAGGTAAAAATTGTTTATGTTCCTGCAGATTGAACAAAATCAATGAATAGAGTTCCATGGAATACATTCCTTCCAAGCACTATGACCACATCACTTAAAAATGTTGTAATTAACTATGCATAATTAATGGATAGGTGATACTAACTTGGCTGCTTGTATACCTTCCCAAGTGGATGCTAATTTTATAAGAATGCGGTCTTTGCTAATACCAGCTTTTTCATACATCTTTATATACTTGATAGCTTTGGCGATACTAGCATCTTTGTTGAACGACAACCTACACAAAAATCATAACCGTCCAAAGTTAAGGTACAGTTTTAGTTAGTAGGTATGCTACTTATTTAAAAATAATTACCTTGCGTCGACTTCTGTAGAAACTCGTCCTGGAATTAGTGACAATATTTCCGTTCCAAACAAAACAACCAGTTGATCCATTGCTTCTTCGGTTTGTTCCTTTATTGTTCTAATACAATTATCAATTTTATTTCACCACAAATGTGTTTAAACTGTTTACAAATTAAAATATACTCACTCTCCATTAGCGATTCCAAATTTAAGGGCTTTAGATATTAAATCTTTGTACTGTGGCATTTTTGCAGCTGCAAGAATTAAACTTGGGTTTGTAGTAGCATCGGTTGGCTTATATTTCTTCATTGCTGAAAAACAAACAAACAATTGGTTTAATATGAAATGTACAACAATTCATTTAGCTTAGATGTACAGCTATTGATTTTAAAATAATTTATTTTAATTTTTTTTGTGTCTGAAGACCCAAAATTATTTTATTTCACTTATGGCGCAAAGAAAATAATTAATTATTAAAAACAAATCAATTATAATATTCGTTTACTTATTACCTACTATTTTAGCATACTTAACATTTTTTTTATTTTTTCAGTTACTGCTTTTTTAAATGTAGTAGTATAGTTAAACATATATTTTGTCCTAAATAAACAATAGAATATTTATTTATTATTTCAACTATATTTTTTGTGTAATTTCTATACAAATGATAATGAATTCATCAGTTAGTTTTTGAAGCAATCAATTTTAAACCATTTTACAAGTATTTTGAATTCAAAGTGCTTTTGTTCCATTACAATTTTCAATAAAAGTTTTTCTTAATGACACAATTATTTAATTAATTAAGTCATTTTTTTTTTTTGGTTTAAAATAACCAGTTTTAAATTAACATCAATAATGAATTAATTATTTTTATACTAGTTATTGTGTTTTTTATTAATTATGATACCAAGATTGAACTGAATTACAAGATAACCATTGTATAAAGTACAATGCATAAAGAAAAAACATTTATAAGTTATATCTTGTGTTAAAACTATAAAGACTACATGATTAAATCCATCGGCCTATATGTTATAGAGTTGTATTTTATCTAAAACATGTTTATCACAATTAGTAATTATTACTTTTAGCTTTAGGAAAATTGTGTAAATCCTGTCAAGTACTATTAGACTAGATGGGAAATGAAAAATGGTCGAATATTTGGGAAAAAAGACTCCATTCTTTCAATATTGGGTTTGAAAATAATTTTCCATCAACAATTATTTTTAAATCATACAGTTGAGCGTGTGTTTAAATAAATGTATTTTTTGTTAAGTCGATTTTAGTTGTTTACATAATACATAATTAAACAATTAATATTTTACTACATTCGTTTGGTATTATGAATTTTGTTTTGGACTATTTAAGTTTGGAAATAATTTGAGTTTCAAATATTTAAAATCACAACTATAGTCCAGGACACGAAAGCATATCTCTTATCATTTATAGAGGCAGTTTTGTGTACTTTAGCACATAACTGTAATTACCAAGGTATTTGATTAATAAGTTGTTTAATGGCGAACTAGGTATAATGATAAAAGTGTTTTTAATTAGTGTCTTTACTAATTAATTAAATGATGACACCATAACACATATAATGGTAAAACAAAAATACTATGAATATACATAATTCAATTACCTCTACCTAGCAATGAACAATATTGTCTCACAACTGTTATTATTTATATTATACATAATTCATACAGACAATACTGTATTATACATAATATATGCTTTAATTAATGATTGTAATTGTTTACACATTATAAACATATTTTCTGAGAACATGCAACACTGAACACATCAATGTCCAATGATAAACATTGAAGGACAACTACCTAGCAGAAATCAGGTATAACAGGCCCACAGTATTAAAGGCCAAACATTTTCAAAACTAGTTTTTTTTAATTAAATGGTTAATGGGCTACCTGTGTACTGTACTTATTGACTCATATCAATTATGATTACTGAGTAAAATATACTATATGATTAATTTATGTCAGGCAAAATGAACAAATCTAGGTTACAGAGTTCATGCCTGAAGCAATTTTCACAACTTGAAAGTGAAAGGATGTAGCTAAGGTACAATAAAAATTATAATAATTTCGAAAAATAAAAAACATATATGTAACAATTAAAGAAATGTCGATAGGAAAAAACTTGAATTAAAAAAAAAAATTAGCTAAGAACTTGGGTATAGCAGTAGTAAGTTCAACTACCTAGGTATTACAAATACTCAAGACACATGAAAAGTATTATAATATTCTTACTTTCAAAATCACCGGTGTCGGCTACGACCACTGTGAAGTTTTTCAATTGAGTTAAACATGAAGATTTCAATTTTTTCGGCGATGGTTCAGTCATTTTGATTCTCAGTACGTGGAAAACGGCAAAAAACAACACTCAAATGGTTGACGTACAAACGGTTTTTGGACAATCGACAGCACACGGTGTTGACTGCACTAGACAAGGTCGACCGATGTCTTTGAAGTTTGACTTGATAAGTGATACGGGATACCTATTCGAAAATCGAAATGAACATAACCTCCGTCCGAACTCTGAACTGGCCCGCACACGGTTGCCAACCTTAGCCTGTTCAAACTCGACCGTCGAGGGCAATCGTTGTATAGTTTACTTTAGTGTTTTTTTTTGTCGAATACAGTTAGAGACTAGCGTCTCGCTCCAGCTAGTCAGCATATTTGTAATGGCTAACAGATAACAAATTAGTTTTTGTCAAATATTGCCTATCCTTTGCCCCATAATAAATAGTCCTTTCCGTTTCTCTTAAAATACATCACACACCCATAAAATATCTGCATGAACCGGCACAGTGTTTCAAAACTTGGTCCGGATATAAAAAAAAAAAAAAATCTAAAAACATTTAATTTTAATATATCCAAATGTTTGATTCCTTAAGAGGTAACTTTCAAAGAACTTTGCTAGTTTATCATACCGTCGTTGCCGCGAAAAAAACTCCCATGTGCGATATGATAGCTAATTTTTTTCTGTATCCAGGGATACCAAAACCTCAAAATCGTAAAATTGGCACATAAGAGGTTTTTTCCACGGCAACGACGATACGTTTATATATTATATTCATTATCTATAGTCTATACATTAATAAATTCACGCTAAAACATTACAAGCCATTAGCGATTACTCGAAGATCTCCATTAGAAAGAAGGCGGTCGGTGATTGAGGAATCGAACAGATTACATACAAAAGCAAAACTATAACAAGGAAGGTGCCGAAACGTCGTAAACCAAAAAGGCGTTAAATAACATTTTAGAAAACATTAATATTTTTTACTTTATAGAATACTAAAAAAAATGTATTACACTCTATGAGAATTTCGTGTTTTACCTGTTATTTTTATGATAAACCATAAACTATATAGTTAACCATCTTTATATTATTAACAGTTATAATTTATAATTCTGCAACACTTTAAGATGAAAAGTGATCTTTTTATAAAAAAAAACTCGAATAAAGTTGTTGTAGAACAGAAAATATTGTTTTGATTGAAAAGAACAAAATATCACGTGAAGTAATAAGTAAAAAGTAATGGAACAGAAAGGGGGACGGAGTGGGGGACCAAACTTGGCCTCTCCCGGTCAATACGCCCTAAGATAAAAAAACAAATTGAACAGGGTTAAAAATTATTTAAAAAAAAAATATCTGAATTATATATCATTATTTTATTAGTATAGATACATAATATAATATTTAACACTAGATGTCTTTAATATTTAATTATTTACAATATTTAATCTTACTGGTATGTAGGTATAAAATGTATAATTTTTGTTACAACATAATATTGTTCTATACCATATGAACGGACAAAATAATCACGAGTGTCCTCAGACCTCATTCATAACAATAACACTAAATAAATACGCTGTTATCGTTAATACTTAAAAGCTATTGATTTACCAGTCAAGTAGGCAATTGATACTGTAATTTCTATACTAAAGGAATACAATACTGGTATTACATTTGGTAAGAAAACAAAAAAACTCTGAACATATTTAAGGGTATATATTTTGGGAAATTAACTTTAAGCATTAGCGTCATTGGGTATGCATTTTGTAGGTGCCGTCACTTTTCTATGTATGCATAATGTGTATACATAAAACAAAAATTGCTTATTGGCAGAAAGAGTACCACTGCTAATGTCTTTTGATCCCCATGCAAACACATAGTGTTTAAGAAAACTACAGAAATTATAAAAAAATCTCTTATAGTATTTAAAAGAACAGAGCTTACATAATAGACAATCCTTACAACTATAATATTATAATAAACACTTAAATCTTATAATCGAGTAGGAGTGGTAAATTGTTCATGTTTTTATCAATATTAATGATGGAAAATAACATGTGATAGAAATAAACTAAATATACTAATAAAAGGGCGGCTGTGTTACTTATTGTTCGCAATACTACAAAATTAACATATAATAGAAAACAACTTACAAGCGAATCAATGAAAAACTGACATAATTAATATTTTAACAGTCTATTTATAAATAAGAAAACAATGTCACAAACGAGTATTTGTTCAATTATTGGTTGAGAAATTTGTATACAAATTATAGAGTAAAAAAGTGTCAAAAAATTTAAGTTAACCAATAACATTTTAATATAATAAAAAAAGAAGATAATAATTTAAATGCAGAAAGAAATAATTAAATGGAAGTTTAATGTAAACAAATAATATGAAAAATAATTATTAATGGAAGGGAGATGCAAGTTAAAATGTTTATAATATTAAGATTTTGATTTTTTTTTTGCCTAAAACTGCAATGTTATTACAGATTACTTTTACTAAAATTATTATTGACCATTACTTTTAAACAATATCGGAACGGTTATACTATTATATCACAGGTATATTTAATACTTATATTCAAAACAATACAAACAAATCTTTGTATCTACTGTTTTTAAGGGAAAATATAATATTTTGGAAAAACCTTTTCTTATAAAATAGGATTAGGATCATACTGCATCACATAAAGTAGAAGCTGCCTCTTCAACATTCCAATTACAGTTGTTTAGAGCTGTTATACAAGCTTCTCGAGATGCCATTCCTAACCTATAAAAAGTCACAGGCATAAATATTGTTACTGATTCGTTATGTTATATTGACGGCTAAAAGGAATAAAGACGTAAGCATTACACATTTTACGTTACCTAACAGTAGTCAATAGTCGATTAGGTAGATATTATTTAGATTTGTTGTAAACACTATTAAATAACGCGGCTGAAATTAAAAACACCCAACTCTTCTGTAAGCTGTAAAGTTTCCAAAATGTTGTATCCTTTTTTCCTTTTAACTGTCGATATATTTATTGATTTACCTAACGTTCTAGTTTAGTTATTATCAGGGCTGTGAATTTAATATTTTCGCATGTTTTTAGTGCTACTCCATAGAAAGATTTTTTTCAGTCAAAATTTGCTTTATACTTCTACGAAAGTGTCAACGAAATTTTATTTAGCTTACTTGAACCTAAGTGCATAATACATTGCATATTTTTATTAAATCATTAGGTTTAAGAATTTTTTTCTGATTTTTACATAGGTGCATTGAACACCAACAGGTCTTGGAATAAACATTGTAGATCATTTTTTTTTATAGATTGTTGTTACTATCACATTCTATTTTAAAAGTCATAATTTTAATAAAGTATGATAACATTATTTTAAACGCAAAATTATGTACTCAAATTGTTTTTTTTTAGGTATTTATTTCACTCAAATTTTTGTAATGCATAAATACATGCATTTTTGACTGTTTTTAATGCATTAAATTCACAGCCTTAGAATAATGATTATTTATTAATTATATTGTATAAATTGATAATTAATAAATACAAATGTGTGTTATGTGAATAAAACAAAATAATAACATAAATGAAGCATTAGATTTTAGAATGTCTAATAAATTGTCCTATCTTTCAGATTAAATGTACACACATTCATTGTAAAAAGATCCACAGTGGACGCAAAATTTATTATTAGGGGCATGTGAATAAATTAAATTTTTAAAAAATTTTAGTTCACTAACCTTAGGAGGTTGTTGATTTTTAAATATTTTACACTCTCCCAAAAGTCCCACGATGTTGCCTCTAACGCATCCAAACATTCGTCTTCAGTTACCGTGTTATTAAAATACGTACAAAGTTGGAAAACAGAGGATTCAGACTGAAAAGAATCCCTCAAGTTAGTTTTGTTAAAACGATTAATGCATTATTTAAAAATCATAGAAGTAATTAAAAACCTACCGAATTCGGTTCAGGAACACTTTGGTAAATATTTGGTGTCGGGCTGTAATACCTTGACATGTCGACTGGACTATAATATGGCGAGTTGTAATTGGATGATATCCCAAGATTTTCAGTCTTCGAATCGGAATACAAAGTATTTTTATAATAGTTTTTAGATACATCAGAATTTTTAACTTTTCCTCCTCCAGGAATGTCACCAATCCACATTTCTTTAAATATATTTTCAGTTACGTTGAGATTTTCTGCATATCTCGAATCTTGTGTGTACTTTGGCACAAATTCAGCTACATCGTTTACGCTAGCTAAGTAATTGCTTGAACTTGCCAAACTAGTTGAATATTGATTTATCGTACTGGTAGGTCGAGGAATAGCAGCATTTGATCGCTCTGTGTTTAATTTCTTAGGTACAGAACTAGGAGGGGCTAATAAAATTTGTCCGTTGGTATTTGCTTGGGCTTCTCTTTGTCCTAAATGTTTCTCCAGTTCCACTATGAAGTTAAGATCCAGTTTAGATGAGCTATTTGTATCTGCTATAGGTTGCAAGATCGGTTCACTAGAACAAGGAAGCGTCTCATGAACATCAGCTGTTGGTTGGGTATTAAAAACTGAAGTATCGAACGGATCAGATGACTGTTCGGCTAGATTCAATCCGTTAATATTCATATAGGTATGATGATAATTGTATGTGTCTGGTGAATTCACAACTGTAAGAATAAAAATAAAAAACAATCAAAAGCTGATAACTCTTTGTTTGTATGCAGTGGTGTAATCCTAAGTCTGTACGCTTTGTGAACCCACCTCCTAATTTTCTGTGTATGCAAGTACTACTAATAACAAAAATTATGTAACTACAATTAGATTCCACAATTTTTGTTATTTAAATTTACAGGCATATATTGAATAGTAGGCAGTTAGTACACAAAGAGTATACCCTACAATTCACCACTGGTTTAATGAAATAAAATATATGAAAAATATTACGTTCTGCAACATCAATTGGCTGGTCTAAAAGAGATATATTTGAATTGACGGAACTGCTTAAGTTATTGTGTACTGGGGGGGAGTACATCCGTCCAAATCCAGTAGAATTTGTTCACTGTTTGGCAGTTTAGGAAATGGGCCTGGAGGTCTACCTGGAGCAGGTCTCAATTGTCGTTTCCTCCCATCCGTAAGTTTTGAATAATTAAATTGCTTATTACAAGGCAGTATAGATGTAAGAACTGTATTCTTGGACTTTTCTGCCTTGGCCCTTAAATTCTTTTCTATTACATCAGTCGTATTTTTTGGACTAGATTTTTTTCGACTCGGTAGTATAGGCGGACCTGGTTCCACGACTGTTGGAGTTCCTATCAAGTCAGGTGGGTCCATCGGATTGTTTAAATACACTTGATCGATTTTATCGTGGAAACCCCAGTTATTGCCACTAGCATCTCCATGATGGCCAGTGTGTATGAATGAATTACGAAGAGGTTTGCTGATATCATCGGATGCTTTAGGCCTCATTGGATCGACAGCTCGTCTGCAAAAATCAAGCATATGTATAGTTACAAAAAAGTGCATTTGTTGCACACTTTTTACTTGAAACATACCTAGGAAATTTTCCAATTTTAAATGATTTTACATTTTGTCCTTTCCACCAAAAATGATCAGGTTGTCCATCAATTACTACAATTCTATCATCGACTTCTACATCTAAACGGTTTGAATCATCACCCGAGCCTTCAGCAACTGGTAAATTTGAAGTCACTTTCATAATACTCGGCGATCGTGATTTTAGATAGCTCCTTAAGTCACTAAAAGTCGGCCGTTCTCCAGGATCTATGTTCCAACACTGCAGTACAAAAAATTTCATTTATTTAAATAAATCAAGTTTAATTGGTAATTTATACAACCAAATTATTATACTGACTTGTTGCATTAATCTGTACAAATTGATCGGACAAGCTTCTGGCTGTTCGAGTCGCTGTTTTTCACGGACAAGTTTTGTAAGAACTTGAGTAGCATCAAGACCGGCCCAAGGTTCTTCACCAAAAGTGAACATTTCCCAAAGCGCAACACCATACATCCATGTATCAGACGCATGTGAGAATTGGCGAGTACGTAAACTTTCCGGTGCACACCAAGGAAATGGTACACGACGTCGTTCAGTCATCACATAACAATCTTCTTCCATAGGTAACAGACGCATCAATCCAAAATCACCAATTTTTACCTTAACAGAAATTTTAAATAATGAGTAAATAACAAAAAAACTAGTTTGATTATAAAAATTAATACCTGATTGGCCGTAGTTAATAGTATGTTACGGCAAGCTAAATCTCGATGAATGCAACGTTTGTTTTCAAGATACTCCATGCCTGTAGCTACTTGAAGAGCGTACTCCCAAAGTACGGTTATCATAACACGGCCACACTGTTTTCTTAAATAATCTCGAAGACTGCCTAACGGAGCTAACTCTGTTACCATCATCATTGGTTGCGTTAAAACAATTCCATACAGTCTATAATTTAAAATTTATATTAACTTTATTATTAAAAAAAAAAGTTGTATTAAACTTACTTGATAAGATTCAAATGATCTAATGTGTGCATGGCTTCAACTTCTTTAACAAAATCTTCAAACATCTGTGGCATCGATGGTACATCTTGTTTTAGCATTTTTACAGCAACTGGAAGGGCACGACCGGTGGACGTGGTCCACTCGCCTCGGCTGACAACACCAAATGATCCATCACCTATTTTTTCAGCCAATCTAATACAGTTTTAATCAAATTTATTATTTTATTCAACTAAATTTCAAGTATTTGAAGAAATTACTTGACATCTCTTTCTAGAATCAAACAAGTTAAAGACAGCGCTGGAGATATAGGTTGATTGGAAATTGAATTTTTTTTTAGTGTTCCATTTGAATGTTTATTAGCTTGAGTCCCACCCAAAAGCGATAGGATTTTATTACGGCGTTCAGTGCTTTTACGTTTTTTAACAGCTTCTAACAATCTTCGAGCAGCTGGTTTGCTAATCCCAATATTTTCTAAATCTTCCGGTTTTACATACTCAAAATGTGATAATCGTGTAATCTAAAAACATACAAAAATTATTATTATTTAATGAAAAATTGCCTAATAATCTAGTAGATATACTCTGATAAATATAATTTATTGGGTAAAGTTCTATTATAATTTACAAGTTTTGTTTTATGAATAATATTTCAAAATACCTATATAGTTTTTTGTCAATTATCAAATGAAATTATTACTTTGTGTAAACATGCATATGCTTTAGTATTAAAGTGACATATTTTTTTAATCAGCACTTTGGACAAAAATATTTTGTTGTTGGTTTAGTTTTTCATGGTTTTATGGGTTTTTTTAATAAAGTCAAACACTGACAATGTACATAATTACATTTATCTGGCCAAAGTGACAGAGTTGATGATTTTTTTAAAAAAGCCCAACCCAGTTATTTTTAACCGAGATGCGTAAACCCTATCAAACCTATATATTTGGGTAAATATCAAACATTTGCTGGGCTTTAACAAAAAAAAAAAACATCTTTTAGATAGAAAAACACTTGAACCAAAAATAATAGAAAAAACTACTTACTTGAAGTTCGTCTATAATCCGTGTCATGAAATGTTCAAGCTGGACGTCTAGTAATAGACTATGTAGCCATTCTTTGTTGTCACAATCGTCAGATAATGCCATTTTCAATTGCAGCACCTAACATTCTTTAGATCCAAAAATAAAAAAAACATGTTATGCGCATTGTAGTAAGTCTGGTGTTTTAACAACAAAATTAGAATAGTCCTAGTAGTATATCGAAGTACTGATGTAGTTGAACCATTCTATAGTACCTATTATGTAGCCTTATACAATAACAATGATAATAATAAAAAAACATTTAGCATTTTAACACCAATAGCACTCACCATGAATAGAACACACAAAGTTCTATTCACATTATATTATGTTTGTAGAGAAAAACTGTCAAGAGAAAAGAATACAAAAAGTATTACAGTAATGAAAAACCTGTCACGCCACTGCAAAAATAAGTGGACCATACCTAATAGAAAAGAATGTTGACGTATGAGTGCAAACACACGTGTTAACAGAAAAACAATTATAAGTATCATACTCAAAAGAAATAAATTTAAATAAAATCTAACATAAATCTAATTAAAAAGCAATAAATATTAATTGTAATACTAAAGATTACGTTAAAAAACTGATGAACCAGCTTATGATACATGATCATTGGTAATAATTTAATATAATATAAGATTTCTAGTTACAAACAGATTAAATAATTAAATAAGCGAGTAAAAAAAGTGTACATACTAATAGTTTTACAATACAGGGTTATATTTTATTAACTTTTCAAATAAAGAATAATTTACCTTAATAGTTTTGAACCACTATTTTTAAGTTATTAAAGTTTAAAAGTTAGGACGGGAGGGGAAGTGCGTGCAGATAAAAATTATACTACACTCCACTTTTCCTCCTGCCCTAAACTTTAAACTTCAATAACTTCAAAAAAAGTTATCCAAAACTGGTTATCAACCAGTCAAAATATTTAGTACATTATTCTCAATTTAAAAAGTTAATAAAATGTTTACATTACCATTTAAGTTTCAAAAGTTGCTATCAAAATAACTAATTTGGGAGGGAGGTAGAAACATAAAAATTTGTAGAAAATTTAGATCACATTAAATAAAAACTGGAAAAAAAAATTATTATTACTTAAGCCCAGTGAGATATTGAGTGATTATTTTACTCAATATCTCACTCTGTATAAAATCACTAGGTAATACTAAAATTCTTTAATTATTAATTAAGTAATTAATTAAAAAAATTCATATATTTAATTACAAAAATGGTAAATTAGTTCACCTACTCCACGGTATAATATTAAATATAAAAAAACTGTACATTATGCATAATATAAAATATTATTTTTATTTCAGCATAATAAGAAAAATAATTTTTTTTGACTAAAGTAATGATAAATTTACTATTTATGTAGAATATAAAAATAAAAGAATATATAAAATTATACCTAAAATGATACTAAATATATGAAACAAACAACAACCAATATTTTATAAGCAAAAACTAGATTTAAAATGTGTTTTTGAATAATTCATGATTTTTCATTTAATATTTTTGATTAAAGATATTGCCATAGCATCTTCGGAAGCTACCAAAGATGATGTGTGAACAAAATTGGCATAATCCAAAGAGAAAGCTTTTAAAATGTTTACACACAGAACTGAAAGAGCCTATATTTTAAAAACATTTTTATTTCAGTGTTACGACTTTAAAATATCACAATACTTGAAAAAATACATATATCTAAAAAAATAAGCAATTATTTCTTGATAACGGTGTACCACCTTATTGAATCATAACTCCTAATATCTTTACAATCTATCGTAGCAAGGTTTGTTTTTCCACATATTCTTACATCAAAAACAAGTGTTAAAATAGATTGGACGCACTTCCAGAGTATTTAAGTGTCACAATAAAACACTGTAAGTAAAACCATATAACAGTTCTATTCTTCACATTAGAAACATTAAAGTGTTAAAGGTATTTGAGTTCTTGCTTATTATAGTTAGTTGAAAATCAAAGTTTTTAATTTTCAACTTATTTTTTAAAAATCAAACGTAATATTATACGTAATACGTTATAACACAAAAATAATCATTAACAATTTCATCGACAACTCACCACTTTTCCCCGACTATTGTTTAGTTAGTTGGGGTTCTGCCAGACATAAACTATTTTCTAAGGGCGCGGTAGCTGTACAAGTTTAGGAACCGCTGGTTTAGGAGACACAAAATAGTCATGTAAAATTTAAAGCCTAAGCCTATTATAATAATTTTTGTTAAGTAGAGATTTAGTAATTATTTGTTTGTAGCATTTACATTTTGTAATAATCGTGTCATTATGAAGGCATAAAAAATATATATATAAATTGAAAAATAAAAATTAAAGATAATGATGATTAATAATTATTCAGTATTCTATTAAAATGTATTTTAAGATAACAAATATAGCCTATATTATATAAGATCCTCCCACAAGTCAATAATTCAATGATAATACACAAGCTTAATACAATTTTACCAAATAAAATAATGTTAAAGTATAAAAAATAATTTAAAAAAACATACTTCTGAACTAGTAAAAACATATTTTTATTCTTTCCAAATAATATATGAAGGGCACAGGGAAAGAAGGGTTTTCAATATATGCCATTAATTTTTTTTATTCATGTCAATAGATGTTTAAATAAATACATTTTTTTAGTAAAATAGCAATTGATGTGATTTTTTTTGATCTTATGTAAGAGGGAGAGGAATTCACAAACTTTGTTTTTACTATACTCTAAAAGGTTCATACATGGACTACCCTTCTTCCCTTGTGCCCTTCATATATTTTGACTGGAAATTATTCCAAACTTAGGTTCTACCTACTAAGTATTACTATACCTGTTTTTAAAATAAGTAATAGCTGGGAAAAAAGTATTTATTTTATATTACTTAAGTATAAATGTCATAAGTGATGTATATCATCTAACTAAATTCAAGAATTTAAGGGTTAAAAGGGTCATAAATCCTCGCCTTCACACCTGATGGCAATATTTAAAAATCTTAACTAATAACTATAAAATATACGATTCAGCAACATTTAGAAAATAGTAACGAGTATTTTTATTATTATTATTATTATTTTTATTATTGAAAGTATGATAAAATCGCTAACCACAAGTCACAACGTAATTTCTGTGAACTCGTCGATAATATTTCTTGTAAGCCAATTGCGTAATTATTATCCTAGATGATAGCACAACAAATGACACACATCTAAGGCTTAATAATTTTATTTCAAATCGTAATAGCAACAGTCCCAACAAACGCAATATCAAGTTTAGTTACCGTATCAAATAATAAACTCCTTATATGATAATAACAATCTCTACTAAACGATACAATCGCTGTTAATTAAATATTTACTACGTACCAATTATCAGTATAATATTGCGTATACGCCGTTATCAGGCATCTTTGCTGGACAAGACGATTTTCTGCAATACCGGATCAAAAAGGTTGGGATTTGCTCTGTTTAACAGGAAAAAATTGTAAAACATCACAATAGCCAGTGTGTGTAGATACGGATGTCCCTGAGAATACATACAGGAAGGTATTGCACTATCCCACTTTGCAGTAGCTGCCGTTGCAGGCTGCAAGCAGGTGAAGAGTAACTGCTGCCTGCTGGTAATTGGTATATCAAAGTAAACAGAATATCGGTTTAGGATACACCAAGATAGCCATTCGACGGGTAATGGTGGGGGTGCCGGAATGAAGGCCAGCCATGGAAGACAAAATCGAGTGAACCCTTCTGCGAGTTGGGAGTATTTCTTCCAAAAAATGATAACGTGATATAAGAAATAAATGTTACATAACCTATAAAATGTGTAATATTACAGATAGTACCAACATCGATTTTACCAAAAACCCGCCAAGAGAAATTTCGTATTTTAATATCAAAAGCATTAGTTAAGTTCTTATCATTATTGCAAATTGTAGTTAGATCTTTATCAATTCTCTAATTAATCGTGTATTCACTATACACGTAAAATTATAACGAGTATGAAGTTAGCCATAAACGAGCCAGCAATATTTGATAACAGAAAGTGTCATGGCGTTGATGTATGTTGTGTTGCCAATACACTAAATATTCTAAGGGGCAGTCCATATATCCACGTACACCGACGATTATTATTATACGATATCGACTTAATTAATTAAAATATATTCTAATTATCGACAAAACAGTAAGAGTATATTATTTAACTTAAAAAAATGGCACTTGGGGTTTTTCGGCCGCCGAACCCAACCCAGCAATAAAAAAGTGGCCGACAGCCGACCGGAACTGGCGGCAGTTATGTCAATTTTTGACAATGTTCCGGAAGAGGTTTCCTATATTTGATTATACCAATCGAAAGCTTACTAAAATGGTGCCAACTTTTTTTATAGAAACGAATTTTGAAGCAGTTCAAATAAAAATTTCAAAGAGTATATAAAATACTGATTGCGATAATCACTTACCATGCACTGTTTTGTTTTTATGCTAGTCATCGTGATAAGGCAACTTTATGATTGTTAAATACTTTCAGCTTGTTCAATTCAACATTTAAAGTTTATAGCTTCTACTGAATCTGAATGTTTCTATAATTAATAATTATATTGTTGATATAAATATTAAAAAAATTATATTTGTTGTTAAAGTTGATTTAACTTTAAAATTTTAAAAATTTTACAAGAAAATCGAAAGAAACTTATTGAACACAAAGAAATTGCTAGCCATCTTAAAGGAAGTATATAGTGTTATGTTAAAACGTCAATTATAGTTATGTCTCCTAATGTATATTGCATAACCCTAATATACCCCTAACGTAACCCTATAACGCTCGGTCAATCAACAACAAGCGTCAAAAATCAACATTGAGCGTCAAAAATCAACAACGAGCGTCAAAAATCAACAACGAGCGACATACAACAACGAGCGTCAAAAATCAACATTGAGCGTCAAAAATCAACAACGAGCGACAAAAATCAACATTGAGCGTCAAAAATCAACAACGAGCGTCAAAAATCAACATTGAGCGTCAAAAATCAACAACGAGTGTCAAAAATCAACATTAAGCGTCAGGTTTGGTTAGGTTAGGATAGGCGTTTAAACGAGGTCACCGAATCAGACGCTTACCCCATGCCGCATTTGAACGAAATGATTAGAAACATGGGGGGGGGGGCGAAAGTATTTAGCGTTTTGGACTTAAAATCTGGCTACTGGCAGGTCTCCCTAAGTCCAAGTGCGCGTAGATACACTGCATTCAGAACGCGAAGAGGACTCTTTCAGTTCAGAGTACTTCCGTTCGGCTTAAAGAATTCCCCTATGACGTTTGTGAGATTAATGAACGAGGTACTTAGAGGATATTTAGATGAATTCGTTCAGGTATACTTGGATGATATAGTAATATTTTCCAATAACTTGCCCGACCACTTAGACCATCTCTCGAAAGTTCTCGAACGGCTCGAACGTCATGGACTAACGTGTCATCCTAAGAAATGCAAATTAGGAACTCCCGAAATTTCATTTTTGGGGCACTTAGTTCGGAGGGAATTCAAAAACAACCGGAGAAATTATCAGCGATCAGAGACTTTCCGATACCACGGAAAGTTAAAGATCTACGTAGGTTCTTAGGCGTATGTAATTGGTATAGTCAATTTGTCGACAACTACTCCGACACGATTGAACCTCTAACCCGCCTATTAGGACATGGGGTAAAATGGCGATGGGAAAGGATAGAACAAGACGCCTTTAATCAAATAAAGAATGCTTTGTACCATTCCCCAAAGTTATCTTCTCCCGACTACGAACGCCCGTTCTGTCTGCAAACTGATGCAAGCGACATAGGCGTTGGTGCTATTCTCTTCCAAAGGGGTGACAGCCCGGAGGAAAGAAGAGTCATCGCCTACGCGAGTAAAAAGTTGAGCGATACTCAGAAACGATACGCTGCGGTCGAACGCGAATGCTTAGCGATAATTTGGGCAACCGATAAATTCAGAATTTATCTCGAGTCGGGCCCATTCGAGCTCTACACCGATAACTCCGCGTTGACATGGCTTCACAGAGCCAAAGACAAAAATGCTAAATTAACCCGGTGGGCAATCCAGCTGGGTAATTTAGACTTCCACACGACACATGTCCCAGGGGCCCATAACCAGGCGCCTGACATGCTGTCGAGACATCCTACTCCGGGCCCCCCCGTAGATGAGGAGGCGCTCGATGAAAATCTTATAGGTGTCCGACCCTGACACGCTCCAGGCATGTAGGCGATACCCCCGATAACATTTTCACCGTTACCGATTCACCGACAGACTCTGTCGACACACCCTTCTACTTGTCTTTATTGAAAACTTGGCAGACAAGGGATCAGGCCGTGAAATCTATCATAGATTCCGTGAACAATGACTCCCCTGCAAACAATACTAGACAAGCGACCCCCAACTCGAAGGACTTCTTCTTAGTTGACGACCTTCTAAGAAAGCGAATTGGTACGTAAAATGGAATTGAACTGAAACCAATCGTGATCCCCACTTCTAATGCGCCACAGGTAATTTGGAAGTATCACGATCACTACCTTTCCAACCATCCTGGGTGGAAAGAGACTTATAGGGCGGTTCGAAAACGGTTTTACTGGCGAGGTCCAAAGAATCAAGTTAGGCTTTATGTCAAGTCTTGTCACATTTGCGCGTGCACTAAGCCTCTTAACGCCAAGGCGGAAGACCCTCTTTCGACTAGAAAACCGCGACAACCCTGGGAGGTCACCAGTATCGATCTCATGGGCCCTTATCCGAGAACCGGACGGGGCAAAACATGCATACTGGTGGCCACCAATTGCTTTAGTAGATGGGTCGAAGCTTACCCCTTAGGGTCCGCCACTACTAAAGTTATCACACAAACACTCGAGCGCGAATTCTTTGCGCGCTACGGCTATCCCCGTGTGTGCCTCAGTGACAATGGCCCCCAATTCACATCGAATGAAATGCTCAAAGCACTCGAGCGATGGGGGGCGGTGGGTTGGACGACCCCAGTTTATCACCCAAGAGCCAACCCCACTGAGCGTCGCAACCAAGAACTGAAAAAAGGACTCCGTACACTTTTAGTGAACGATAGTCATCGTTCTTGGGATACGAAACTATCGTCGGTACTTTTCGCGATTCGGAACAGAACGAATGAGATGACAGGTTACTCACCGTCGGTTTTAGTCCTTGGTAGAGAAGGAAAAAGACCGGGCGATTGGGTCATAAACCTTCAATCGACTGTCCCAATCGAACAATTTGACGAAGAGCGTCGGAGCCGCGAAAGAGTGGCCATGAATCTTCTGAAATCAGAAGGGTCCCCAATAACCCCTGAGAACTCAAAATTCAAAGTGGGCGATTGGGTGTATCACAAGGCGCACCCTCTTTCAAATGCCGATAAAAGATTTCACGCCGGATTTGCACCCAAATGGTCAGGTCCGGTGAGGTTGGCGAAGAAGATTGGAAGGGGAATATACTAGAGGTGAAGCGGGCGTGGGCGCCATCCGGCGGTGGCGAGTGTGATTAGCACTCGCCCACCACCGGAGTCGCGATGCGACCGCGTCAGTTTGTCCCCCCCTTTTTGTTCTTTTTTTTTCTCCCCTTTGTTTCAGCGCATCATGGCCAGCAAGTTTTTCTAGTTTTTCAATTTTTTCCAGTTTTTCTAGTTTTTCTAGTTTTTCTAGTTTTTCTAGTTTTTCAGGTTTTTCAGGTTTTTCTAGTTTTTCTAGATTTAATTTTTCTAGTTTTTCAATTTTTTCTAGTTTTTCAATATTTTCAGGTTTTTCTAGTTTTTCAATTTTTTCTAGTTTTTCAATATTTTCAATTTTTTCTAGTTTTTCTTATTTTTCAAGTTTTTCTAGTTTTTCAATTTTTTCTAGTTTTTCAGGTTTTTCAGGGTTTTCAAGTTTTTTTAGTTTTTCAGGTTTTTTCTAGTTTTTCTTATTTTTCAAGTTTTTCTAGTTTTTCAATTTTTTCAATTTTTCTAGTTTTTCTAGTTTTTATAGTTTTCCTAGTTTTTCTTATTTTTCATTTTTTCTAGTTTTTCAGGTTTTTCAAATTTTTCAAGTTTCTCTAGTTTTTCAATTTTTTCAGGTTTTTCTTATTTTTCAATTTTTTCTAGTTTTTCAGGTTTTTCAGGGTTTTCAAGTTTTTTTAGTTTTTCAGGTTTTTTCTAGTTTTTCAATTTTTTCTAGTTTTTCTAGTTTTTCTTATTTTTCAAGTTTTTCTAGTTTTTCAATTTTTTCAAATTTTTTCAAGTTTTTCAGGTTTTTCTAGTTTTTCTAGATTTCAATTTTTTCTGGATGTCTAGTTTTTCTAGTTTTTCAATTTTTTCAGGATTTCTAGTTTTTCTAGTTTTTTAATTTTTTCAGGATTTCTAGTTTTTCTATTTTTTCAATTTTTTCTAGTTTTCCTAGTTTTTGAGCTAGGTCGAAATTTTGGTTTTTTGTAAATTTTGACAATTTAAATCACACAAATGGGCAATTTTACCGTATGTTCTGATTGCAGACAAAATTCTCTTGAGTTTGATCTAGGTTTGAGCGGATTTAGTGCCAAAATTTAGAATTTAAATAAGTATTAGTGTGTTATTTGTGTTGGACATACCTTGGGTAAACCTAGTTTATTCTTAAAAATCTTTAAAATTTCAAAAGATATTTTTAAAAAATCTTTATAAATACCACTCTTAACTGTGGTAGGTATATAAAAATATTTTTTTTTTAGAATTTAATATACTAAAGGTACTTCTTAAATCCCAAATTTATAGTATAATATTTCTTAAATTCCAATTGTATGGAATATTCTTTAGATAAAGTATGTCGACATACTTCGAAAAATCAAAAAAAATGTTTTTAAAAATCCTTTTCCCTAGAAAGGGTAAACTTTTTTTAATCATATTTTTCTCAGCAAACTCGTAGGACAAGCCCTGAAATGTGCAACTTTTTTCCATAATAATATCTAAAAATCAAAAAAATTATACGTCTATTATTTATAGCTATTTTTTTATGGCTATTTTTCATAATTATAAAATAATTAATTGTCTCCTATTTGTATATGAATTAAATACAGTATAAAAAATTACTACAAAATTTGCAGCCCTAGTAAGCTGCTTACTCTACCTAATATAATATATTATGCCTCTTGAGTAAAAACTATTTATAATGCTACAATATTTACCTTTGTTTCAAATATTGTTTTTGAACTATATAGAAATATATACTACTATAATGATATACTTACCTATGTGGCTAACATTAATTGTAGAATAATTTTAATTACTAAATGCCATTAATCGAGCGAAATCGACGGCTATGAGTCATATCTAAAAGGTAAGATTACATCACATGACAGTTACAAATGTTAGAACCAAATATATATACAACACAATTTTATTGAGTATAACAAAAAACAGCAAACACTATATATGATAAATAAACATAACTCATTCAATACTTATTATAAAGATTTAGGTACAAATCAGTTGCAATACAACAACAAATTCTAAATAATCTATTGGCATTTCTATGTTTGAAATTGTCAAACATCAATTTTTAATTAAAAATTGACATTGCCAAACAGTCTTAACAAGGATTTCCATATTTTCTAATAGGGCCGTACAATAGTTGTTTAACAAAATATTAATATAATTCATTATGTATAACTATATCTTACAATAAAAAAGATTTGATACATGCATTTTTCTATGATTTGTTTGAAAGCTTTGATCAGAGTATTGTGTAATTTTGCAAAAGCCAATAACTATAAACTATACAAATTCTGATTGGTCTAAGTTAATAAAAAAACTTATATTTTATTTATGTGCTCAAACTTAACATAATAAAAATGATGATGAAAAATTATCAAGGTTATAATGTAATATAAAAATTCTTAGTTTATAATTGTCCATAAAAGTGATATAGTCTACATTCAAATTTAATACTGTATGATCCATAATAATATGTGGTTACTGGTAATAGTTAATAAATTAAATTTGTATAGCTACAAATCTGATTAAATAATACACAATTATTTTATAATAATATTACATATATATAAAATACAACCAAATATATCACAAAAAGTTATTAAAATTGTCGGTTACACTATTCTAAGACAATACAAAGTTAAAGTAAAAATCAGCTAAGGATATTTTAAAAAGTTTTTTTTAACTTAAAAGAAATGACTAAGTTTGAACTATACAGTCGTAGTATATGAAATATATTATTTATTTATGCTTTGGCACACGTTTGTTTGTTATGTTAATCTGTCGACTGATTCATCGTGTTTAAAAGACAAACCATCGTTTAGCTGATTTTTGAAACCAAATTGTATTTTTTTCTTACATCGTTTAAAGAAAAACCTAACAACTAATAACTATTATAAAACACTTTAAAACTAGACGTCTCATATAAAAGGGTAATACTAAATTACTATAATATTATAATGTATACATATAGAAAGTGAAATTCATAGTATTTGTACTGAGTTAGTTGAATAAAGATAAACTATAAAAACTATATCCTGCACAACCTTTAGCTGCTAGATATATATATATCACGTGATAAGCTCCAGGTATGAAACATATGAAACCAGCAATGAAAAATACTGCTGCGTTATAATTTGAATTCGGAGTCAGTTGTACTGCCGTAGCCACCAACAATAGCACTAAAATTACAAAAAAATTATTCATAACAAATAATTGTTGCAAGATTAATAAAAATTAGTTACACATTAATTAATTTATTTATTCAAAACAAGTCTTGATCCAAAGTAATTAATCACCTGTTCCTAATACTAGCAAAAGTATAGCAGCTAGAACAACGCGCCAATTTTCTCGTACTTGCGGATGATGCCAACATCCTCTACTTTTACTTGGACAGGTAGGCGCACTATTGTGGATTAGCGAATCACTGTCTCGAGATATTGTCTTTAAAACAACAGCGGGACAAGATATAATGATGATTAATATTTGAGAACAAACTGAAACAAGTACACTTATACTTACGTCTTCAAATGCTTTCGTATTGGCAACGGAATCATGTACTATACCACCGTAGTTGGAAAATTTGCTTTGGCCAGGCGATTGTAATGGGGAATTCCTTATATTATTGGAACCGTACACTTTTATTTCATCAAACGGTTCATCTTCAAAGGCGTCGTCGATCGTAAATTGTTTGCTGTAAGACATTTTAAGTTTTCTTTTTTTAACTTAGTATGTATTGTTATTTCATAATTATTGTAAAAACTTTCGGGATAGAAACGAATTTGTTCCGACGACTTTTAGATTGATTCTTAAAATTTTTTGACAACGCGCACAAAGTAAAAGTTAATCATAAAAACGTTTAAAAGTCTTCTCATTCACAGTCAGTATTATTATTAATCATAGTCATTAATCCCATTACCTTAAAATGTCGAGAGTAACGTTTAACAATAGTCAATTAATGACTGCTTAATAATAACACATTATGTTATCAATCTTGGAATAATTTATCAAATATGTTATCAAAAAAAAAAAAAAAACCGATAATAATATTTTGATAAACGATAATACAAACAAAAGTGAAAAAACCATTATTTTTCTTATCAGTGATTTAAGTCTTTGATGAATGTCTTTTTAATATATAGTTTAATTTAATAATGTTTTAAAAGGGGTTTTTTTTTTTAATCAAATTATTTACAATAAAAGTTGGAAAATAATTACTTATTAGCCGTACGCAAATTTCACTATTTGAATAATGTTTTTGAATCAAATTCGTTTTAACTACGGTTGATTTATAATGAAAGATAAAATGCCACCATTCAAACGCAAGAAATCAACAGGAAAATCTTTTCCTGTCAAAGTGTGTACACTTGATGCTGAATTGGAATTCAACCTAGAGGTAAAGTAATATATTTTTCGTCGTTACAGTGACCTTGACTAAGAGTTATTAATATTTATATAGTTAAGAGCTACTGGCAGGGATTTGTTTGATTTGGTGTGCCGAACTATTGGTTTGCGAGAAACCTGGTATTTTGGCCTTCAGTATGAAGATTCCAAAGGATTTATTGCTTGGCTTAAACTTGATAAGAAAGGTACACAAACATAGAGATGAACAGTTTAAAAGTTTAAAATACAGTGTTTTAATAATGATTTTTTTAATATACTCCGGTTCAATCTAAGTTCAAGATCAAGGAATTCCACAACAATCAACCATGCCTTTTATGTTCCTTGCTAAATTTTACCCTGAAGAAGTAGCTGAAGAACTTGTTCAAGAAGTTACTCAACACTTGTTTTTTTTACAAGTGAATCGTGCCATATTGTCCATGGATATATATTGTCCACCAGAAGCATCTGTTTTGCTGGCTTCTTACGCTGTTCAAGCAAAGGTAAAATTATACATTATCATCCTTTGGTAATTTGTATAAAATAATGTACTTCCGACTATTTTAGTATGGCGATTATGATGAAGGAACGTATAAACCAGGAATGCTGGCCAGTGAAGAACTACTGCCTCAAAGAGTAATTGATCAATACCAAATGACAGCCGAAATGTGGGAAGAACGAATTAAAGTGTGGTATGCCGACCACCGAGGAATGTCTAGGGACGAGGCAGAGATAGAATACTTAAAAATCGCCCAAGACTTGGACATGTATGGTGTTAACTATTTTCCCATTAGCGTAAGTTTATTTTAAAGTATCTTTGTCTTGTGACATTGTTTACCAATTAGTTATGTGAATATTTTTTATTTTGCTTTATTTTAGAATAAAAAAGATACGGACTTATGGTTAGGAGTTACAGCCTTAGGTCTGAATATATATGAAAAAGAAAATAAATTAAGTCCAAAAACAACATTCCAATGGTCTGAGATTAGACATGTCAGTTTTGACGATAAGAAATTTACCATCAAACCTGTTGATAAGACGTCGCCAAACTTTGTATTCTTTTCACATAAAGTTCGAATGAATAAATTAGTAAGTATATATATTTTACACGCGACATTATTTTTTTAGGAATTTAAAACACACTATCCGTACAATTATTCCAAATATCATTAGTTATGAGTACTTTCTGAATTTTTCTTCGGAGTCAAAAATGATCATATAAAATTACATGTCTTTTATTTGTTGAGCTTGTCATATTATATTAGATTTTAAAAGTGTGATTATTGTAATATATTTGTTATTTTATTATAATATGATACTGCTTGTATCCAAAAGTACAATTTTCTTTGTAATAATAATATCTCTGCTCTCTTCCTGTAAAAATAATTTTGTTAATTCTACGCTATTTCGTCTAGATTTTAGATCTGTGCATAGGTAATCACGATCTTTTCATGAGGAGACGTAAACCAGATTCCATGGAAGTACAACAAATGAAAACGCAAGCAAAAGAAGAAAAATCAAGGTCAGTTGTAATAATAATATCGCCTTATGATGTAAAATTAAATAAATATTAAATTGTTTGAACTTTAACTTAACTGTATTACAATTTATATTCACTTACTTATGCAAAACAATTTTTTTTATTAAACCATCAAATGATTTACTAACGTAAGTAATTTTAAATTCTACACTATGATTGGACATTTGTTTTTATGGATTATTTTTATTAGACGTCAGATCGAACGTAACAAACTTGCTCGTGAAAAGCAACTAAGAGAATTAGCTGAAAAGGAGAAAGCTATTATGGAACAAAGATTGTTACAATATCAAGAAGAAATCAGATTGGCAAATGAAGCATTAGTGAGTAATAATTTTCTAGCTTGGTTTGTTAAATACATTTTTATTAAGTCGCACTTAAAACATTATTTGTATAATAGAGACGATCTGAGGAAACTGCTGATTTGCTAGCTGAGAAGTCTCGTGTTGCCGAAGAAGAAGCTATGTTACTCGGACAAAAGGCATCTGAAGCTGAACATAAAATAACACAATTTCGTTTAACGGCTCTAAAAGTAAAATAAAGCGTTTGCTAGTTATTGTATCGGTTGAGAAAATGAAATAAATATTTATTCTATAGACAGAGGAGGAAAAAGTAAGCCTTGAACGTAAAACTCGTGAAGCAGAACAATTAACTGCCCGTCTTGTAGACGAATCGGAAAGGCGAGCAGCTGAAGCAAACAAACTAAAAGAAGAGTTGCTTAGAGCACGAGTTGCTGAAAAACAAGCAAAAGAAAAATTATTAGAGTTCCTTTCGAGAAATGCTTATATTAATACTGTAAATATATTATAATATACAAAAGATAACAAACTGCCCCTTTGGTTAAAATACGTACGGCTAGTAATATATATATATACGTGTATTTTTTTTGTTTAGAGTGTTTCGAGTCTGTATTCAGTATCCAGTAGTTCGGTATTGGATCTGCCGACTGATCTTCACGCCCTGAGATTAAATGCCAACTCACCGTCGCTATCCCTCGCTCATACTTCTCCACCCGCACTGTCCGATCATTTGCCGTCTTACGATCTGATTGCTGACAACGATATGGAACAGCTGTCATTAGAAATAGAAAAAGAGAGGTAAATTATTTGCAATATTATATTTATACAATTCTTGGGTATTGCAGCTCACATAAATTACTATAAGAAGTAATCTTATTCCCACAGAGTTCAGTATTTAGAAAAGAGCAAGCATCTCCAAGATCAATTAAGAGACTTGAAAACTGAAATAGAAGTGTTAAAAGTAGATGAAAAACAATGTGAACTCGATATGTTGCACGACGAACAAGTACGGCTCGGAGAAAACAAATATTCTACCTTGAAAAAAGTAAATATATGCATTCAACTTAATCCGTAAATATGTAGGAAAATTACTAATTCCGAAATACATTTTTACAGGTCAAGTGCGGTTCGACTAAGGCTCGTGTAGCGTTTTTTGAAGAACTATGATAATTTTAAATCAAAATCGCAGAATCTCAGCAGCCGTGTTTATAATAACTTTTGTGTAATTACTTGTTATTCTATTCCCTTTTTATTATTTTATTAAGAACAAATTAAGCTTTATAATATACAACTTACAAAATTATACTTCTACTATAGGGAAAGCCATCGAGTAATGTAACAATAAATATACTTCTATTTATGTTAAAAACATTTATCCTATCGAACAATTTCAATCAAATAAACTATTTTAATTTTTAATTAATATTATTTTATTAACAACAACATAATAGTATTATTTTTTTTATAATTCTGTCCAATAATTCTTCCTTTTGGGTTTATCTACCAAAGAATGAAAATGTTAATTCATAAATAAAAAACCATATTTATCATTTGGAAAATATACTAAATTTGTTTTTTTGCATAAAACACAAATTAAACTATAATATTGAATATTAAAAAAAAAAAAATGTGCAACAACGTAGTGTAATAGGCAATAGTTAACTTGTGTATAAATTATCAATCAAACTAATGAATAATAATCCATTAATATTAGTTAATATATTATACACCAACCTGGGTACTTTTTATTTAAATAACAGTTTGTTAATTAACAGTTAACAATAATTCACAAAAAATTGTATGTTATTTAAAATAATTTTTTACTTATAATTTATAATAATATTTTAATATAATAATTCTATTTAACTGTTTCAATTGTAGTTGTAAATCATTTTTAAACTACAAGTTTATATGAGTTTATTAATTAAACTTGAATTAAAATATTTTGCTTATTTTTATTAACATTTCCATGATTATCTAAATTATTATTATTTGGATATTTGTTCAAAGAAAAATACATTTGTATTTATTAATTATTTCAAACTATTTTTAATAAATTATTTATATAATGCCCAGTTTTGTATGTAAAAAACGCAGAAAATACTCTAAATCATTTTGATTAATTAAAGAATTTAAACTTAGATGAGATTCAAGAATACTAAAACTAAAAAATAATGTAATAATTGATTTAGAAGATGTTGTTATCAGCTTATCACGTTTAAAGTATTGTTATCACTAATATCAGCATTAAGCTCACATTTCCCATAGATAGTGAACACTTAACGTATTTGGAGTCTGAATTTTAATTTTTACCTCTCCTTTTGAATTGTTTTATTTGTAGAATATTTTAATTAATATTGCACATAATATTATGTATGTTGATGTTTAAAATAAATTACAAAACTATTTGTAGTGGGTATGTACAATTTTATAATTGAATATATAATATTTTGTCAATGTTAAATATGGAATTTGTAATATTATTATAGGTGTAAACATGTTAGACATTTTCACGTGACCAAAATAATGGCCAAAAGTAAATACGAGTATGTAAGAGAATTCGAGTCTGAAGATAAATGTTTGCCGAACTGTTGGATTGTTGTTCGCTTGGACGGGCGTTCATTTCACAGGTTTAATATTGTATATATAATATAAATATATTAAATATTCTATTTTTTATTTAACATTTACTTACTTAAAAATCAAACTTATGTTATAGGTAAGTAATTACAAATTTAATTTTTTTCTTTGTACTATGTATTATAGATTACGTTTACACAAAAATATTTTTACGGTTTTAAAATACAACACTTGGTTATATATCTTTTACATATTAATAAATAAACAAATACCATTAATAAATTATTTATATTTCACAATATATTAGATGAATAAAATAATCAAATTTCTGAAAAAAAAAAAACAAAAATATCTGATTTTATTCTAATGTCACTTAATCTGAACTTTACTATCGTATTCAATTATTTTTTTACTTCTAGAACTTTGTAATGTATTTAACTATTTAACAAGATACTATTTTTGTAGATTTACGGCTTCACATAAATTTGAAAAGCCTAATGACAAAAAAGCATTAGACTTGATGAATAGATCTGCTGCGGCAGTGATGAAAGAATTACAAGACGTTCAGTTAGCATATGGACAAAGCGACGAATTCAGTTTTGTACTGCGCAAAGATACTGACTTGTATAGCAGGCGACATTCTAAAATTATGTCGGCTATTAATAGTATATTTTCTGCTTCCTACGTTTTTTATTGGAACACATATTTTGAAGATAAAAAACTGCTGTATCCACCTTCATTTGATGCCCGCATTGTTCTGTATCCAACCGACCAAAACTTGCGAGATTATTTGAGTTGGCGACAAGCAGATACTCATATTAATAATTTGTATAACACAGCATTTTGGGGACTTGTGCTGAAAAAAGGACTTTCCAATAGCGATGTAAGTATAGTTGAATAGCAACTTGAAAGAAGTAAAAAAAAAAAAACAGTTTTCGTTTATTTTTAACAGGCTGAGAAGGTCTTAAGCGGAACGGTATCGGCACAAAAGAATGAAATATTATTTACCGAATGCAGCACTAACTACAACAACGAGTTAGCAATATTTAGAAAAGGCACGGTATTAATAAGAAAAAAAATCAAAATACCACCTTCAAAAACTAAGAAACAAGTTGTATACATGCTGCATGTAGATATTATCGGAGATAGTTTTTGGCAAGAAAATGAAGAGATATTGAGTTTAGAAAAATCACAATTATACAAAGACATTAATCCAGATGATATTTTTGTATACGTATGACAACACAAAAAAATAAAAATAAAGTTTTTCTCATAAATCAAATCATGTTTTATTTCTAGTATATATATAAATTTATAAATAATTATTAGATAACCTATAAATATTTTTGTTTTTATAATAAAAATAGCAGTGAGTATTGTATTGGTAATTTGGTAGTACAAATTGACCACAAACATTGAATATATCCTATTACAGTGTAATAGTACTGCATTCAATGTCCTTCTCCCACTTTACCAGCAACACGTTTAAAATCGCCCATGTTAGTTGTCGATATTGGTAATCCTATAATACTCAAATTATCTATTCTTGTGACTTCTTCGTCGGTTTGATTGTTTATAACAAATATCTGTAAGTTGTGAACGTTTTGAAATTTCACATACTTAAGATTGACAACTTTACCGTCTAATTCGTCTGGTTTCAATTCAATTTCTTGTGTGGCGAGGTTACTTGTAGCAGCGTCAAAGTCTAAAGTATTTGGCTGATTAATAAACAATTTCAGTGTTTTGGGACCATTGTCTTTTGGCGCTTTAACCTAAATAATGAAAAAAATTGATATAAGTAAAATAAGATAAGATGTATCAGAACATGACTGCAAGTTTTTAATGTGAATGTCGGAATTAAAATAGCCCAATCTGTTATCACTAAATAAGTTCTCCAATTGGCAATCAAAGAAAATAAACTCTATCTAGCCAGTATAAACCGTTGTCGAGTAGTAATTGTAGTAATTTTTAAATATACTATCATATAGATTTTTACATTTTGTGTAATGGGAAAGTATTTAATTATGTTATTATTTATCATTACTATTTTTTGATTTTTTGCTAATGTGAGTAGTATTGTATGGGTTATTTTTCGTCACACCGTCGCTTAAGGAATTTGAACGACACAATTGGATTACTGTTGATTTGGGCTGAAGGTAATTTCTGTACTTAAACTTGGCTTTTCCACTAGTACAAGCCAACATTGGGTCTATTTATTTATTTATTTATTTATTTATACAAATATCACGACATCCAAAGAACAACAAAACTAAGTTGAAATTTTTTGAAAATGGGTTTTTCACAGTTTTGGAATCAAGAAAAATGAATTTATAAAGACAATAAATATGATTGCAAAATAACCACTGTAATTTTTTAGAATTATTCTGTTTTTTTACATATACAGATGTTAAAAAAGGTATTTTTTTAATTCACTCTTTTGAAAAATTTGACTTGTAGTTAGGTCATTGTTCTTTGGAAGTCACAATATTTAAATATCCAATCTGTATTCCCCCCCAATTTCATTATAATTTGTTTGTAATATACTCATGTCAATACAAGTAGTACGATTTAATTAATAGTGATTGATAAGTGCTAACTTACTTTGATTGAATGTATTTTAACAGATTGCGTGAACCCTAACGAAATAATGAGTTGTTGATCACAATCAGATTCTATGTATCCACGGCCTTCGATCAACACAGACAATGGATGATCATCAGAATCGTTTAGGGCCTCGCATTGATTTTTTTGAATGAACGAGCCTAAATCAATCTGACCGGGCACGCCACTGTCTTCGCCAGAAGCGGCACACGAAGCGTCATAGTACTGTTTGATTTTCGCCTCCAGTGCCTGTACATCAGCTCCTTGGATTTTGGCCACACGAATCTTGTTACGGTAGAATATAAAGGTCGGCATAGCCGATACGCCTTGGGACGCTGCTGTTTCCTGACATTTGTCTACGTCCACCTTCAAGAAAACGGCACGGTTGTACTTAAGAGCTAGCTCGTCGAACAGCGGGGCAATGCGTTTACACGGACCACACCAGGTAGCCGAAAAGTCGACGACGATAAGTTTGACGCCATTGGAATTCAGTTCTTCTTGAAATTGTGACTCATTTAACACTTCCTTTACCGACATTATTGGATTTGCACTTGAAAATTAAAAGCACCGAACAAGCGAAAAAATATTTATTATTTAATTTTAATAGTTACTTAATTGATCAGCTAATAGCTTTGTGGTTAAGTAAATATGTAAATTTTTATTTAATGCGCGATAGTTGCCCGTTAATGTTTCCACAGTCGTGGGAAATTATTTTTTTCTAAATTCTGCAAGTCAACGATGAACGAACGATAACAAAACAATCATAAAGTGATGATAAGAAAAGTACGCGTTAGTGTTACATTTCAATGGTTGTGGGAAATACAGCGCTCAGCTTAGTGGTCCCACTGCTCGAATGCGGGATTTTAAAAAATTATTTATGCTTTGTGTTGTTTTCACCAAATTACAATTTACACTATTTTCATTTAGTAATTAGTTTCATTTACCAACAAGTATTTTTTTTCACCTTTCACTATGTCAAAAGCTAAACGCAATAACTGTATTAGTTTTTATTTTTATACCAACTATAATATAGTAACTACTAACTAGCGCTAAATAAATAGATAGTAATTTTAGTATATTTGAAAAACCCATACCTAAGTAAGTTGTGTGGCTATTATTTTAGATTAAAACGAAAAGAAAACAAATTGAGTTCCGATTTTTGTAAACTAGGGGAAAAAATTGAGTGGGTGTTATATAGCTTACTTATATAGGGTGGGTTAAGTTAGGAAAATGGAGGTACCTAACTGAAATCAACATATTGACATGAATACATGGAGTTACTGGTGGAACATAATTATTAATTAGACATGAGTACACATACGATTGGGCAATTTCACTAGTTCGGATAAGGCGACGAAGAAGAAATAAGGGTTACAGATCATGATGATTGTTATAGATGCCATAATTTAGAAATATATCTACTGAAAACACTAATGACAATAATTAACCTTAAATTATCGAAGTTAATATGTACTTCTTTTTTTTATTATAGAAATAATAAAAAAATTTGCTTAAACAAAAAAAATGAAAACAATTAAATATTATTTAATTTAAAAATTGAAAGTTTGGAATTTTTTTAACACGTTTAATTAGCTTCACTTGTATGTATGTATGTATGTATGTATGTATGTATGTATGTATGTATGTATGTATGTTTGTTTGTATGTTTGTATGTTTGTATGTAACTAAAAGAGATAGGCAACCGAACGTACATGCGTGTATTCATTGTTGTTTACCTGAAGTTTTCAAGTAATAGAGACACGTATGTACTAGAATTAAAAAAACACGATTTTAAAGCACATCGAATTAAAAAGTGGAAAATAAAAAAAATATAGTTTAAAAAAACTAAAAAACACGCTTAAATAGTAAAACAAACTAAAAAGTAGAAAATAATTTTCAATATAGAAATCAATTAATAAAAAATAAATAGTATTATTGTGAAAAAAACGTGGGGTGTTACATATATCAGATCTTGAAAAGCGCCCCACACTTTTTTTACAATAATACTATTTATTTTTTATTAATTGATTTCTATATTGAAAATTATTTTCTACTTTTTAGTTTATTTTACAATTTTAGCGTGTTTTTTAGTTTTTTTAAACTATATTTTTTTTTTAGCTTTGATGCACATCTGAGAAGGTATTGCTTTTACAATGATGTTTTTATTTATGTCTGTAGTACCCACGAAGATGTCTTCTAAGCTACTTCTTAACAAATTTCTTCATGTAGCAGCTCCATATATTAGAAATCGTACCTGTAAGATACTTTATTAGGCCAGAAATTAAATCAAATCACCCCTTCCCCTATAACATCCAGAAAAACATCTAATTTTACTTTTTTACAACTTAAAATTACGACGCTGTGTAACTTTAAAAAAAAAATAGTCGAATTTGTTCCAAACAAAAAAAAAATCATAAACCCTTTCCCCTAGAATAGGGCTAGGCATTTTTTCTTTATTTTACTTTTTCAAGCCAATTTTTAGGGATTTTGGTCTGAACATTAGACCGACAGTAGATCTAGCGAATGGAACTTTAACATATCCAATTTTCTCAAATATCTGTAGACAAACTTTTTTTTTATTAAGGAAAACCCCCTATTCGTGTCCACTCTTATACTAAAAATTAATTTTCAAGCACATAATTGTCATTAGATACAATGATTTTATTGATATTTATATTTTTATCTGTGGACACTGGACCTCCCTTACCTACTCACTAACGTATAATACTTACTGTGCTTGATTTGGACTGTACTGGTTTGAATCTACCTTCCACAGATTCGCATCAAAACGTTTATTTTCAGTTATAATAATTCCTGTAGACCTGTAACCTCCCCGTTACCAATATACCTATTATACTTATAAGGGTTAAAAAACACGTTTTATTAATAACCTTTGCTTATTGTCGTCAAACTTGTAACAGTCATAAAATATGTGATTACCAGTTTTAAATTTAAAAAAATAATATGATCTACAGTAATTGTTTTTACAATTATAATTATTTTAATTGCCGGTTGTCATTATGTAACGATAACTATAATGTAAGTATACCTATTGCCTACATGATTTATTAGCACCATTAGGCAGTTCGAGGGGAGGTCCGTCTAGTTTTAATTGTATAAATAATGGGATATTATGTTGTAAAATGTATACTGGATGTTAATTTCAGTTGCTGAATTTGTAATTTGTAATTGGGAGGCATATGAAATAATGTTGTATTAAATATAATCTAGTTTTTGATTCCTGTCTTATAATTACTAGACTAGTCAATAATAATATTGCAGCAACAAAGTTGCTCGCTGAATCCTAATACTATCCCTTTTGCGGCGCCAACGTTATAATAAAAAAAAATTATTATAAAAATCCTACCTGTTTAAATTTATAGTAAATATGTAATTGTGAATTTATTTCATTAACGAAGATAGTAAGGTCAAAACTAAACGTCTTGTGTTTGTTGTTGCCCAAGTGAAAAAGAGTAGCTATTTATTTTAGATATCTACAACTGATACTACAGTACAAAATATATGAATAATTAATTGTCTGATCAATAGCGAAAGTGGAAAATTCAAGCCTACTTATCTCAGAGTCAGCGTTATGTAAAATTATTTAGTCGCATTTTTCTGATATAACTGTAGCTGCCCCCACTTTTCGCTATTTTTGTCTATAGCAGGTCTAGTTTGTTTTCAATAAAAATTCCAACTTACTTGACCTACTGAGTAAAAAGTATTCAGTTGTAACTAGTAAAATTAATTACTAATTAAAGCAGTATCTCATCGTTTCTTAAATTTAAAAATTGCAAAAGCTACATTATTGATTTACTTTAAAACCAATAGATTAGCAACTGTTAATCTTGTACAGTGCTGCCGCGCCGTAGTTAATAAGTCTAATACATCAAAAGACAAATCTTAAATTTTTTTTTTTATTGTAATAATAACGGGTTTTGTTATTCAAAATGGTTATAAACGTTTAAAACTTCCCTAAATTGTGTTGGTCATTGTCAACAATTTAACAACATAGATATTTAATTATTATAAAACAACTAACGCAGTGTTAGGTTGTGTGTCTACTTCAAGGTTATGACCGTATTCGTATAATTAAATGGAAATGTATGATAATTTTAATAAGAAAAATATTACATTTTAATGTTACAATTACGCCGCTCAGATTTTATTATATTACTTCTATACCAGCACATAATTCAGCCCCGAAATCCGTGACCTCCAGTTAATAAGGTCTTTCAATAAAACACTAAAAAGGTTAATTACATATTTTATGTTTTCCCTCTAAATCAATCCAGTTAGTACAGCACGATAGTGTAAAACAAAACAAGCACAGTATACACTTGCGTACAGTTTGTTAGCAAAGTGTGATTTTATTATATTAAAAAGTCGCTCACAGATTCGCATCGAAGATTTTTCATAATGGACTTAAATTACCTTTATAACCAACATGGCGAGTACCTACAGGCGGGTTAGGATTATAAAAGCGATTGAAAAAGAAAAAGCTTTGTTGCTAATATGCTGTTCACTATCAAGCATTGACTTTTTAATCTAACTTTGATATCTTTTACACTACACTGGTTTATCCTGTGCTGGTTTGTTGTACTCTTCTAGAGATTGAAGTTTAAAATGTACTGGCTTTTCATAGTGCTGGTTTATACAGTAACTGCACTTAACATTTTTCCCCCTTGGTGGGTAAAAAAAGGGCTATATCAATTATATTTAATGGATTTTTACAGTTTTTAAGTGAAATGAACTAAAACATCAGAAAATTACTAATAATAATTCTTATTAAGATTTATAGCGTAGACACATTTTACTATAAATAATTGTACTTGTCAACATATAAAAATGTTAGTATAAAAAATAATATAAGAATACACACTAATCTTCTTTAATCTATTATTCAGGCTCCGAGTCGAATAATTACGTCCAAATGAGCAAAATAAAAACAAATAGTTTTCAGTTTTTATCTTTGCTCAAGGAAAGGCATTATATTTTTTTTCTTTGCTTATTTTCTTGATTTTAAAAATCAAGTAAGTATGGTATTTAAATCGATAGTGCTATACCTAAATAATAGCTGAAACAAATTTAGAGCTATGTATATCACATAATCGTTAATCCACTATAGCTTTAGCAAAATGTGTACTTATTGGTTAAAATAAGTATTTCAACAAACAATGCCCAGTTCTGTATAACAAATCCCTAGTGTTATCACCCCTCCCAGGTTACCTGTTATGTGTACTATGTTGATATTTGCTTTGAATAATTATGATATCGTATCATTTTTATATGTACAATATAAAAATATAAATTTAATATAGTTTTCTGTAAGAGATCGATTATCAAATAAAACTCTTTTTTTCATGGTCGTCCACTTTTCTGCTTGTCCGAGGCTGTGAAAATATTTGACGTCATTAGGTAAAAAACTTGTTATTCCAGAATCTACAGGGTACTAGTTAAATACAAATTTTAAACTAGTTTACCCTGGTTATGCTAAATATATTAGAAATAAGGTAAATACTCGGTAATAAACGACCGGTATAACAGGCGTTCATAAAAGTGTACTCATTTTAATTACATTAATTTGTTATTTAAATTTATATTTTTTGACCATATTGGACAACAGTATGACTCACAACAGTAATCCTTAGACTGATGACAAATCAGTCTAATGATATTAACTTATTACCCAGAAATCAATAGGGTTATAACTTACTTTACAGTATAGTGTTGAACGTACTTATTTTTTTAGTATTTTAAAACCTTCATAACTTCAGTATACAATAATTATTTTTGATCAAAATCAAATATTGTAAATCCATTCATCTTACAATTGAGTTTTGATGAGGTTAAAACATAGTTTAGGATGGTATCCAATTTACAATCTATTAAATAAAAACGAATTTGTAACAACAAATAGTTATCTATACATAAAATCAAATTAAACCTGTTTTTTTTCAAAAGTAAATTAATACCACTTTTATATTAATCGTTTTTTGATCTCTTGAAAATTTCAAAGTCAAGGTATAATATTTTTTTAGCATAAAATATAATTGAATAAATATATTTTTTTATTTTTTATTATGTCTAACTTACTGTTGTCATAAAAATAACTCGATCAACTATCAATTTTATAACTTTTTTGTTCTCTATACAAATAGTCTAATATAACTTAATAAATATATACTTAATATATTTTCACTAGTTTCTAAAATTGTAATATTATTTGTCTAGTTTTTACAAGCATACCTAATTTGCACTTTCTCTTTCGGTGTGAGAATTCCTTGTCTACATTTCAAGCGTTTAAATACATCCAAAAGTATTTATACAAAACTAATGATGAACTAATCATAGTTTTCAGAAAAACTTTCTTTACACCATGCTAAAGTACAGAGTTGAGCATTATTAAGATAATTTTTTTATTCGATTAGATTTGGTCGAATAAAAATAGTTATTCGAATAAATCTTCTTAAATAGTACCGAATTAAGAGATTATTCGAATAAATTAGTTGTTATTCGAATAAAAAATGCCCTATTTTGCTAAAGCACCTTTAATTTAAATTTTTGCTGAACAGATACTTTAGTATTCTATTATTAACCTAATAGACGTTAATATCAGTGACGCAGGTTTAACTGTCTGAATTTTAGTTTTATTCTGATAAGCTATCAAGGCTCTGAATAATCGAAAAATAACATACGTAATATTTATTATTATTTTAGGTAATAACGATTACAAAGACGATTAAACAACTTAATGCAATAGTGGTTTTAGTAATTTTTATTGTTAACCGTTTGATTCTCAGACCTTAAACCGTAAAATAAAAGGGAAAACTTCTTATGATATTTAAATTATTTTAAGATTCAGTGTCTTATATAAAACTAAATATATAACTTATAAGTAACATTAGTAAAATTATTCGTATAGTGATATGCACTAGTAAAACACTCTCTAAGTTCTCAATTCATCCGTAAATTTATGAGGGAGAATAATTTTCTTCAATCTCCTTGTAATCAAACCTTGGACATTCTCCGAAAAATTTGCCTCTCAACTTATATCTATTGGTATTATTTTATGTAAACAAATGAATATTTATTTTATGTAAACAAATGAATATTTATTTATTTTAATAAATAAATTAATATTAGTAATTAATATAAATTAATTATAATACGAGCCAAGTGGTTAAAAAGGGACCTTGTGTTCAGAAACACAAATAAAAAAAATAGCTGACAAGCCAGCTTAAAATACATGATTATCAACACATTGTCTCACCTCTACACCAAAGTTAAAATTATAAATATCAACAATAAATAATGCCAACATTGTTATAAAATACAATTAAAATTATCATAGTATAATGGCTACAACATAACTGTATTATTTATATATATATATATATATGTGTGTGTGTGTGTGCAATGATGAAATTGTACATATAATGGAATAAATTACATGTTGATGACCTCTTGTCGAATGGTATCTGGCATTCAGATTTTACACTATTTGCATATTGTATCGATTCATGTTCTAAATTATACTTCTAATACGATATTTTATTGCAATATATGCAGGTAAACCGCTCTGTAAAGTGAACTTGAGTCTTCCTTCAAGACGGTCCGCTGAGAACAGTTAGCGTTATAACTTTTAGTTGAAGCGATTTTTTTTTTAAATTTAGAAACTTAATCATTACTTTCTACCAAACCCAAGTTTTCAGTTCTGTCATTTTTTAAAAATTTTAAATTCGCGCCCAACAGAAATCGTTTGTATTTCGTTTTCGAACCTCTACGAAATGAACTCAACCGGATTATATATTATAATATGATAATATATACAATTATAATATATATATTATTATTATATGACACATTGATATTTAATGACGTAGGTCGTAGATTTTTACGTTATAATAAATTGTTATATTAACAATACCTCTGGGCGTCAAGGTCTACTGGGTGGAAGGTACTTGACAATTATTATCGTACACATTGATCGTGAAGATTTTTATCGATGTAGTAGTTTTGTTCTTATTTAGAATACAAATTTGAAATTCATTGTCAAAACGTTTCTTAATAAAAACTATAGAACATATTTCTACTTTTCTCGGACGCTATACTAGCATGATTGTGTATCGAGTGTGTATGGTTTAACTCAGCAATATTCTCTCGGGTCTCAAACGTCCAATATTGGGATCGACTCGGACAAGAAGGGTACATTCTGCTGCGATTAATTATTGCAATTAAAACCAGTAGAAAGAGCACATGGTCATGGCGCACAGTGCATATCAATTAATATGTATTTGTAGACTATTAACTGCCGCAACCAGGTATAGGCAATGGCTATACCGTTTGGCTGTGGACGTGTTGTGACTAGAGGAGGGGCATCCCGGTACGACGGCCATGGGAATAGTACAGGAAATATACTGTAAATACTATACAGCAAAGGGTATATAGATCGGTAAATATATAAACTTAAAATCCGAGATCAGCCAAGGTCAATAAACCAGTCTGTTATTTTATATTTTATATCATAGTGGGTTAGGTTAAACGGATCAAACAAGCGTTGATTTGCAACGGCGACAGACATACGGACGAATGAGTAAAAGCGTTAACCGTCTTGGCTAATTCGAAAAATAAAACAATTACACAATAAACTAAACGTTTCTCTAAATTTGTTCGCATTCGTTAAGTACATATTCCCATTTGAGTTGATCGTTATTTTAGAACTGTTTTCCGTTAAAATGTTTCTCGAACCGCCAAAAGAAATCCAATTGGAGTTTATCAAAAAAGAAAATTTTTACCATAACGCCGACAAAATTGACGAAGACATTGATGTCTTAATCGATTGGTTGTCTAAACAACCGCATCTGCCCAACGTTGCAGGTTAGTTTAAACTTATTTCAAAATATTATTACAATCATTTTCAACGACTAAACAGATATTGTTTATGTCTAAATTGTCTTATGAAAAAAAAAGTCATGTATTGTTAAACTGTATGACGTTTTCATTAGTTGAATGATTTTCATGTCACAAAAATCTTCTTTTTTTTCTTACATTTTCTTTTAGAAGACATGAATATATAAATTAAAAACGCTCAACTGCATTATCGGTTGAAATATTAATAATTTAAAACATATTTTCAGTTCATTGAAACACAAAAGTATGATTTTTTTAATTTAGACAAGTCGTTGAAATTTTAACTAAAGTCATAGAGTGGTTATAAGTGTTCTAACACCGAAAACGCAGACCTATGCTTATTTGGATCTGATAGTTTCGCATTGTTGTTGTAATAATTGTCCATTGCCGATGTAACCAACGTTAGTTTTGTCATTGACTTCAGATCGCGTATGGCTAAAGCATTTCCTGATAGGATGCAAAAACAACTTGCAAAGGACAAAGAAAGTGCTGGAATCATACTTCGTGGTCCGCGCTGACTTACCAGAACTTTTCGATGATCTCACTACCGACGCCGAATGGGCCAAAAACGCGATGAAAATTGGGTAAGTTAATTATATTATGTTTTTCATTTTCTTTCATTACAAATTATGTTTTAAGTAAACCACTTTTATAACTCAATTTTTTAACACTTTAATTAGCCTACTTATCAATTATTTCATCCGAGTCTACACCGTTTAACGACCGTTTCTCAATAAACATAACTATAAAACTGTCTTATAAGTCTTGTAACAAGGTACTCCTAGTACGATTTAACATATTTTAGTTTCAAGAAACCACATTCACGTCTTAGTCGAGTGACTGAAAGAGTAACTTGTAGCATATAAATGGCAAGATAGGCTTTGGTGTATAAATTTTACTTCACCAAGAAATTAAAAACACTTATTACATTATTGTAAAATAATAATAATTCATGATTTTAGTTACACTTACGGGGTAAATTTACGATATTAAATATAATGAGATCCCACAGGGACAATCCCTTTTTCCCTGCGGATCTTTCCGCCCCTGGACTATGAGACCTCTCCGTCCTCATTGTACTGGCTTTTGAGATTACCCAACATTTTAGTCGATTATTGTCTAGCCAATTGCCATAACTGTCGTCTACTGGTAATCGGAGCAACATTGGTCAATAAGAACGATCTTGTGTTTCAGAAAAATATCGCTAATGCCTAAAATGACGCCGGAAGCCAATCGCGTGCACATTCTTCGGACCATCGAAAACAATGACAGCGAGTTCAACGCCGTGGCCATGTGCAAAGGAACGTTGAAGACAATCGATTATCTGATGAGACGAGAACCCATCTATGGCATGGTGTTCATTTTCGATTTGCAACATTGCCAGCTGTCGTATCTGCTCAGTTTCACACCGTCGTTGACTAAGAATCTTATGCGTTGCATACATGTAAGTACATTTTTTTTTTTTGGCATATAGAGATGTCGAGCGTTCCGACGATGTTCAATAAAAGAGCTACACCTTGAAACCGTTGACGTAAATCGGGCCTACTCGAATGACAAAATATAGGTATAATATGGGCACCAATGGCCCGGCAACAGTATTGTCCGGCTCGTAAAATATAAGCTTCGATCCTCACGGAACAGGTCTGGCCCACAGATCGTATATAAACATACTTCATAGCGGACGACCCTCGAATATTGTGTAATATCGTCGAATAATAACACACTTTGATTAATACCTTGTAAACGATCGTCCGCTGCTATCTAATATGTTTATATATTATCTTTGGTCTGGTCATACACCCACGAGTGTTCGAAGGATTTCAACAAATTCTGACGCCATATTTACTATTTATTATGTTTTTGTTTTGTTTAATTTGACAACAACCGATGCATAAGTGGTAATCATGACTTTTGTAAAAAATTCCATATCGACTCATGTCTCAAGTAGGCACTGTCTTCCACACGAAACACCGCCTACGAGCTGGCAGTGAGCCTAGAAGATATAGAGGACAATCGCTGTAACTTTATCGTGGGTTGTCATTTAGACAACAACAATACACTACTGAGGTAGTTATCTCACAGAGTACAAACATAAGAAATCTCGCGGTTAGGGTCGTCGACAGTAATTGGGTCCCTTACAAAATGGCGCTGTTTTCGTAAAAATCTGTGCATAGAAATGAATCGTTTAAGCTCCGTGTAGACATCAGCTTATAAACGAAACGGAGAAACACACAATACTGTCAACCTTTGATTTGGTATTCAAGGGCAAGCCGGTGATAGTCGGTGCGAACGAGGTTCGTGGTTGAGTTTGTGTTTAAAACTTGAAACCGGTTAAAAGCCTAGTAGCACCGAGTAAACAACAACACTGCTGATTTATTTAGTTTAATGAAAACTCAATGTACTTAATTTGATTTCAGGAAGCTACTCCGTTAAGAGTGAAAGGAATTCACTATGTAAATCCACCCAAGTTTGTCAGCCGTCTTGTGAGTTTCTTCAAAATGTTTTTGCCGACTAAAATTCAAAACAGGGTATGTATACCGTATTAATATGTTACGGGTAAAGTCCGAATTTGGCCAATGTATATTAACTCTAATGTTAACATTAGCCAATTTCGGACGCCGTTACCAGAATCATTTTGACAATCTTAACAATAATTTTACACAAAAAATATTAGCTTTTACCCAATAGGTAAATAACACATTAAATTGTACTTAAAGCTGCGTATTAATGGAATTTATTTGCATATATATATACTTTTTTTGGGGGGATGGGCGGTTCCTAGTAGATTATAATTGAGCAGCCAGGACATCTTGCCTAAACTAGGCATTAGTATATAGAAATATACTACACCAGGGAATGCCATCAGGGTAGGCCTAGTTGACTGAGAGTCTTCATAAGGCCAAAAGTTATCATCAACCCTTTTACCCAGATGGGGTTGAAGCTTGCCTTTAATTAGTTTTAGGACTTTAGGTCTGAAAATTAGATCCGGTGTGTACTTTTATAAAATCCAAAAATCTATAGTCACGATTTTTTTTTTTATCATACTGAACCCAAATAACGTTAATTTTTTCAAAATAAATTCTGAGCGGTGAAAAACAAAATCCGATGGAATCCGAGTTTTCACATAGGGTCTAATAAGTAATGTTCGCTTTATTTTCAGATCTTGATCCATGAGAATTTTGAATCTCTCCACAAACACATTCCCAAAGATGTTTTGCCCAACGAATACGGCGGTACGGCCGGAAGTATTGAAAAGCTAGAAGGTAAAATCGAACAAACGTGTGAGTCGGTTTGGAGTACTTGATGTTATTTTTGAAATACATTTTTTTACAGAGGAGTTGTTCGAAAATTTTAAAGAAGACGACGAATCGTGGAAGAGCAGACCGCAGGCCGACCTGTCCAAACGTCCGGCCCAAGAAAAGAGCAGCGAAATGGACATGAGCGGAACGTTCAAAAAACTCAATTTGGATTAATTATCTTTTTTTTTGTCGATTTCCGGTGTTCTAAACTTGTGTACTTTAAGATTTAATGTGAAAAAAATTGCACGGTCGACGTGCGCTCGTATTAGACGGCATTTTTAGGATAGAACAAATCGTAATATTATTCTGGACTGGTGAACTTAATTTTTTTTTATTTCTTACAAACGACCTACTAAAAAAAAATGACATCAATTACCATTGGCGGCTCCTTAGGAAATTAAATTTGTATAAGCTTAATTCTCGATCAGAATGAAAGCGTGCCGAACTGAGTTTGATTGGAAGTTAAATATTGTTATTAATATTATTATTATTATTATTTAAGAACATAATTATTGTAATATTATGTATTATTATGAACTGTGAAAATTATAAATTATATAGAATTTACCGATATCGGATACTTGTAGTTCATTATTAATGCAGTACATATTTTATTAATGAACTACTATGATTAGCATAAAAAACCGGAAATTTACACATTCCGGCAATTTTAATTACGTATAGGGTAATATAATAAGTATATAAGGTATAGTTGAAGTATAGATATATAGGTATAAAATATCGAAACTAGATTTCCAGAATTAGCAGTTATCAAATTTATCATTTTGTATGGTCTCATTTATTTAATACATTTCTAATATTACTTGTATACTAACATACAGGTATATATTATGTTATTCTTTCGACCATTGCCTATTATAATATAATATAATTATATGCTCGTATATCTTACCTGACTCGCCTTTGATTGATTTAATTGAAAAAAAACATTACATAATGACAAATGAAGTCTAATACACAACAGAGTATTTTTTCCTTTTGCCAGAGTAACTTTTTCAAATATCTTTGCCAGTTCTCAGATACAATTAGTTGGCATGTTAGTTACTTTAATTATTTTCTTTCTTTAAGAAAAATAAAAGTTAATAACATTTCTTTCAAAGGTCGTTTACAGAAAGTTACAAAAATGTGTCCATAAGATGTAGTATAATAATTAATAAATAAGCTAAACTACACAATATTATAAAAATCAATATTTTACTAACCCAAAAATATTGACTTACAATTACCTAAAAAAATGTTTTACAACGAGACGACGTCCACCCGTATAGAAAGTAGTAAAATAATTTGTTTTTTTTTTTAATTTAAATAACAAAAATATTTTTTTTACAAATTACACGATTTTTAAAATATTTAACCGTCGCCCATTATTTTAAGGTTTACGCCCCTCTATTGCAAACTACATTCACATATATAGATAGAGTTATATATGCATATTGTTATGCAGGCAATGGTCTCAGATATTATTTTTCTCATAGAATAGTACTGGTATTATGTAGTTCAGAATAAAAAAATTAAGTATCAATCGTGTTTACTGTAACTCGCGTTTTTACTTAATTTTTAACACCAGAAATGCCTGTCGATGATTTCGTACTAATCAATCTGTTCGAAATCGTCCAGGTTGTTAAATTATTAAAACAAATTTCGACGGTAATTGTTAGTTATTATTTTTAGTACAAGAATAAGGAAAAAACCAACACGGTTGTCTAGTTTTTCCAAAACGCGAATTTTGGATTACATCCAAATTTTCAAACAAGAAGACCTACTACGAACTTTTTTTGTCCCTTTGCCTAATGGTCAATCAAGTTTGTCTACGAAAATTTTCATTTGATAAATTATTCGAACGTATCTAAAAACCGATTAAAATTCAAGAAACCCGATATCAATCTGCTACCTATCAACCATTATGGTTTTATGATTGATTTTTTAATGTATGCATTAATTGTTGTAAACGATATCTGCTCATTGAAATTTTTTAATTTTCTTATACGATCTGACACGGGCCACCGTTTACAAAACTGGTAAAGGACTCGAAGAACTCGTATTGGAAACTGTAGACAAATTAATGGCAACAGTAATGGGCTGCGACTGGCGCCAAGAAGCAGTTCCCTAACGAGGAAAATAACAAACTAAAATTTGGATTGCATAATATAAGTAATGTGACAAGAAATTCAACGTCTTTTTCCTTTGCAGCCGGCAAACGTTAATCGACATGCGAGTGGTCACAGTACACAATATAAAAATCCTTTGAACTGATACCAAGATCAACTTTAGGAAGAGATGAGCAACGGGCGAACCTCAACAGAGTCATCTCAGTAAATTATATCTATACAAATCGAATTTCGAGTTGAATTGAAAATTCACCATACACGTACCCAAAGTCCTAATAAGTCAATTTCAAATGGTAATAAATAAAAAATAAATTTAATAACTAAATGACTCTTGTTAAAACAATATATATATTATACGGTGGTCATCATTTAAATTGAAAAATATATTACTTGTCTAGTTTTACAAGGTCGCGTGAAAATCAAAATCATAATTCATTTTATTGAGTAAGCTTACTTATTTGGGTTGTCCGACGACATGCACACTTAATGATGATACATTTTTTATAACAATATATAGAACAGTGGCTAATTTATTGTATTGTCGATATAAGTAATAATAATAATTTGAGCATCCGAATTTAAGGATGCAAGTCAATTAGAAAGTGACCTATCCGAAACGTACTTAAAACCGAACAACATATTATTGAAACACCTATTAAATAAGTCGGAATAACTTAAGTTTCCTAGACCTTGTGTCTAGCAGTTAGTGCCACGCACAACACTTTAGTGCATTGTAAGTATAAACGAGGGTTAACGTGTATTTTATTATCAGGTCCACCTTTGCTCTAAATTTTCCGACCTTGAAAAATTTGACTTCAAATATATTATATTTTTGAGACAGTAAAATCATAAGTGTTCTTTAGGTCGTTGACATTGATCATGAGAGGGAGGCGTAATGAAGCCCAAGGTTTTATATAACAACGAAATAAGCACACTTAATTTTAAACTTGTTTTACAATCATTTTCAACTAGTGGTCTGGTTTATTTTAATTAGCACATCCGTCAATGCATCAATGAGTACACGATTGCTAGGTAATAAATCCAAAAAGTATTCATTGACGCAATTTCAGAAGAACGCTAGGTATACTCAAAATTCTGCATGTTAAAATTAGTAATATTTAATTGGCCATAATCATTAAATCTACAACTAAACAAACTGAGGGTTTTTGAACAACTTGACAACTTTAAAGTTGTAAGGGCTTGCATAATTCTACCCCACTCCCCCCCCCCTTGAATTGTACCAATAAATATATACCATTTTCCATTTTAATGAGTATATAATAATAATTAATGTAAATATTTAAACGGTTTGCCACAGTTTATCCCTTCTTATAAAACAAAAAACTGGTGAATTTTATACCGATTCTAACAAAAAAATGAATTAAGACTTTTTTAAAATGCGACTAACATATAAATTAATGATTTCATCTTATATTATGTGAATTTATTATTAAAAATATCGGTGCAGATTTTTTTAATCATGCTCGATTTTTTTTATGTGGTTTATTCGTAATATGTAAAATAGCCAACAAAGTTGTATTGCATTTTTTAAATATTTGCCTATGTATTTTATTAAATTATTATGATGTATAAAAGTATCAAGAGGTAAATTTAAACTACTCTGTGATTTATAAATGTATCAAGATTACGTGACTTCTATAAAGCCCTACAGGGATAGGTCTACTTCACCAGTGGAAACCCACTCCGTGGGAAAATAATTTTATAGGTAGAACCTTTGAATACAATTTACATAAAACAACTCTATAAATATGCTTATTAATAAATTGTGCTCGGACGGAAATTTTGATATACATAAATTATATAACCAGATCATGTTTTCATATTGTGGTAAAACTTAATACACAATTTACTTTACCCGTTTCTGGTACACGTATTAACTATCCAAAATAATTGTTTTAATTACCTAATTCAGTTTGAAGGTTACAGAGCATAAAATAAAAATGTATTCAGAATAATACCCAATAAATAATTGATCAGCTGTGAAAAAATATATAACTTGCATAAAAAAAATTAACTGGTTTATATTTGGTGAATCACTCTGCCGACAACTAGCGAAATATAAATTTAGAAACCTAACCATAGTAGGGTCGTCGCGGTCACTGCAGTCTAGTTACATGTTAAACATTATGTAAATCTGGAGAGGAGGTCGAATGGAGCTAACAGGCTTGGAGATATTTTTTATGAGAGAATAAGTTATCACTCTGCACTCACAAAGTCATAAAACAGGGATGTAATTTTGATTTAGGATGAACTATTAATTTAATGTAGAAAATATAAGTGTAACTACACTTTTTTTAACTGAAAGTAAAATTTGTTTTTAAAAAATTGAGATATTAAAACATTCTTTTTTGTATAATTATACAATAATTACAATAATTTATATATTTATACAATCAATTTTTTAAATAATATATTTAGATTGTATAAATACTTTGTACCTCTTGCAAACAAAGTGATTTATTAATTTTTTATGATAAAATCCGTATAATTTAATTTTTTTAAATACGGTCTACACAAAATTCGAAAAATATAAATGATTACATACATCGTGAATAACACAGTAATATAAAACTTAAAGAAAAAATGTGTTGAAATATGTACAAATCTTTTTGTGTCAATTGCAAAAAGAACACTTTAAACAATTTTTTTTTGTTTTCCACTGTTACTCAATATTTTATAATTAAGTTATAGATACTTGAAAAAGAGCATTAACTATATTTCAACAATTAATAATGTCTTTTAAACGCGTTGTTTTAAATCTGTTGTTCAAATCTTTTGAACAAAAAAAAATGGAAAAATGAAATGGAATTTTTACGGCCAACCTCAAGAGGGGTACAATTTGACGTAGAATACCTCATATTAATACAAGTATAGTAAAATATAGTCTATTTGTCTATATCTATTTGTAAAGAATGTAAATGTATTACTGTATACAGTGCATTGTAATAAGTGAAAGAGAAAGTAATTTTAACTTAAACAGATTTTACGGGGATAAAATGTAATTTTTGTAATTTTGACAGTTGGTCCACTTGAAAGAGGTGTTTATGAAAAACCAACTAAAACTAAGTTTTCGATATATTAGCTTTGTGTGATTAGTAACGTAATCTTCATCATTATAAAAATAATTAACAAACGATCATTATAAATTATTAGATATTTTAAATTGTACTATATATGCATACATACACACATGGATTACCTAGCATGCAACCTATACCTACAGTAAAAAAACAATACTATTTTTTAAATATGGTAAAAAGAGGTATTACAATGTTTTAAACTGCTCGTGGGCCGTGGCCAATAAATATGCGTTTTAAAGGACCCACTCGTGCCTACTTATTAAGAGCCAAAATGTAGGCAATCCTTGAGAAAAATCAACAGAATTATCACTTTGTAAAATAAAATGACGATGATACAACTTGTTAAGACCGCATCTTAGTATCATACAAGTGTTAACATAATATCAAAAAGAAAAACTAAAAAAATATATACTGGTGGAGTTTATATTTTAACCCTTCACTGCATGTAAGTGCATATATGCATTAGGTTATTTGTGTTGATATAACTTATTGATTATGGTTGAATGTAATTTGTTACATTGCTATCTGTCGGAAAAATAACTGAATTATCGATTTTTAAAACGATTTTGATCAATAGAATGCAGTAAACACATAAAAATGGCATATATATTATATAGTTGTGGCTACTACAAAAATAGCTGTGGAATACGATGTTTGTACTGTGTTTTATTATACTAAAATTGTATCTATGGTGTTGAAAAAAATATAACGTGTATTGTTATCGTCTGCTTTACCAGAATGAACTGTTGATAATCTTCAACCATGTTTATTTGATTATAAAACAGATATTTTGTTACCGCGGTCACATATGACCTTCCATGCATTTGTCATTATGGTTTATAGGTACAAGTCAGCGGTGTTTATTTTTACTTATTTTTCGTTTTTGATGGTTTTTATTCTTTATTTGTTTGAAATTAAAATGAGTAAACTTAACAATAAAGACATAAATGAAGTTTTAAACATTCCATATGGGAGCGAAGACGAGTTTTGTGATTTAGATGATGAATTTTTGGAAATATTTTCTCGAGACGTTAACGAGGTGTACCTATTTATTTATAATATTTTTTTTAGTAAATAATTTGAAATTCGTATTACTTAGGATTGTAATCATTGGCCGCAATTTGTAGATACAAGAAGAGTTTGTAAAATGCCACCATGTAAATCTCAAACATTTGTAAAATGTATAAAATGTAATGTATATTTGTGTGTTAGTAGAAATAAGACGTGTTTTGAAGATTTTCATACAAAATGAACAAGAAAATAATTATTAGAATGTTAAAAAAATTATTAAATTTAATTAGAATTTAAAATAAAACTGTAGAATTAATTTGTATTTTTTAATAGTAATAATAAGATGTGTTCCATGCATGTAAGGTCATATATACATTGAGACTTAAAATGTACGTAAGTTCGTTCAAAAGTTAATAAAACATTTTTTTTTTATATCCCCAACTTTTGTATTATAATATTAATCATTTCTAATTTTTTCGTAAAAAAAAAAAATACATGCAGTGAAGCGTTAAATCTAAGGGGGAATTCTATATAATAAAAAAAAGGTCACAGGTCATTAATGATGAAATGTACATGCGCCTCCTCATTACTTTATCATTGATGTATACATGATGAGACAATTGTCAATTATTGTATTTTATGGGAAGAAAACATTTCTTTATTATGTGCTGTACAGCAACCTCAAAACACCACAGCATTAATAATTTTTCAAGCATATTGAAAGATTTTGAATACTTTTTTAAAAAAAAATTGCATATAAATTTTCCTTATTCGTCAAAAACTATCCTAATTGTCATTAAATTTGGAAATAAAATGTAGACAATAAAAATAACTTGTTGCATCATACAGGTCTCCGGACGTAAAACTTTCCGAGGTTTTTTAATATATTTTTAATTTAATTCTGTTAATTTGTTTTTAACAGGAAACTAGATTCAATACAATTATGTCCATTAACTTATTGTCTCAATGCCAATTTTGTAGTCGTAAAAAGTAAAAACCCGTATGGTTATTGTTTTGAGTTAAAAATAAATTGAATTGGTTTGACTATGTAATTTATGAAGGAAAAACACTTAAAAAAAAACAAATTTAATAGAAAAAATATCGAAGAAAACTTGTTGGCGATCGATCAACTACACACAGTTCTAGCTGTTCTTATTTGATCAGGTTTCAAATAGTATTGCATATAGACAAATCGAATGAAAGTGTGTATGTGCACATGGTGCAAATACATATAGATATGTATTCGTTTTATATTTTTTTTTGCCAGAAAATCAATAGTTATATTTTACACAATACCTTGTAGACAACATCGTCTGGTCACAGATGGACGATTTGCTGTAATGTATCGTAGGTATATTCCATTTCCTAGTTAATTGTTAAATGGCAATAAAACGAAAACGATTTTCAAGGATATCAAACAAGTCTCGGCCGATACCGGCTTTTCTGTTAATTTAAACAGGATACTCGGTGCCCAGAACAAGTAAACTGTACGTTTTTATATTATTATGGTCGTCACTTGGGTGATGTGCTTATTGTAAAACAGGTTAGCGTAGAAAACCAGAAGACGCAAGAAGGTCGGCCGGGTCTGCTTGAAGCTCCAATGCTCAACGTAAATAACTAAACGATTTAATACGAGCACATACTGTTCACAGACGTACTGATTGTCTGACCATTCCTAACATCCTACGACCGAGTACGCACTCGTATTATACTGTTACAATATATATATATATATATTATTAACAGTCAATTTATTATTATTTACACCGACAGAATAGCACACGGAAACATGTTACTATTGCCGGCCAGCGAAACGCAACTGGAGAAACTGAAAGCCGAAGAATTCTATCAGCCGCCAGAGAGAATCGAAGAAGATGTCACTCAGCTCATGGAATGGCTCACCAAGCAGCCGCACTTACCCGACGTCACAGGTATATAATTATTTATAAAATTATATATATATATATTAGGATGGTAAAAAAAACATTAAAATAATATTTTTAGATTTAACCATATCCTATAAGTTCTAAAAATTGTATTTAAACACTTTTATGCTATTTTAATTTTGATATTTTAAATAAATGCCATAAAATATAACTTTGGTTAAACTTCAACCCCGTTGCGGCACATGAAGGGGTTGAGTAATCGAACCCAAAGTTCCACAGAATTATTTTTTACATCACATAAATAAAATTGGAGGGGGGAGGGGTGTTGCAAACAAAATTCTAAAGTAAGGTTTATAAGTATGTAATATAGATATAAGTGCAAATCGTTGTTCGTTACTAGTTAATAATAATAATAATTGTTGTTATATTCGGTTTGAATTTGCTTATATCAATAAAACTACAGTGATATTCTAGGCATTAACGCCACCAATAGGAGATAGGGGAGGGGAGGGGTGCGCTTGGGGTACTTTAGCACCCCTATGTTTAAAATTAGCACCCCCTCCCCCCAAAAAAATTAAAGTGTTCATTTGTTTCATTTATCTTAAGCTAGATATTTTTGTTGAATTTGTTGTTTTCTTAACATTTTGTTAGGTATTTTGTTTGTCATTACCTACTTATTAATATAAAAATAGAATATTATCTTGAAAATATTTATTTTTATTTTATTGATAATTAAACGAATATGGATAGTTGAGAACGGATTAATTATCTGTGATTAGTAATATTACAGATAGCTGGCCTATCTGGCTAGGGACTAGTGGAGTGAATTGCTGGCCTGGATATTAAAATATAATTATAAGCTATATCTATATTTGGTTTTTTTATCTTTGTATTCTTACCTATGTTTTTTCTGTTAAGACGTCGGTCCCCATTATAGTTTATGGCATACGAATAAATAAATTTAAAAAATGAATAAAATTTAAATGTTCGCACCCCCATACATTTAATTCTAGTTGCACCCATGAATCGAAGAAGGCTTAGGTTAGGTCTACTACTCTTTCCTATCCGTCTCATTTCTTAACTTTCCTTAAGTCATCTGCTATTTTCTATCAATTACTATAGTATATGTGTAGTACAGTTAAACACTCACAAAAAATCAAAAAAATATCTTACCTAACCACTCTTTTGTTTAAAAATTTCATCAAGTTTTATAATTAAAAAAAAAAAATAATTAACGGTTATTCATATTTAAATTATTTTTCTATTCAGCTAAAATGTTTAGCTGGACGGGGTAAGTGACTCACTTAAATTTGATTTTGATCCATTCGTGTTTCACTTATTTATAATTTGAGAAGTTAAACATTTTATATGTTACGTTGGGAAAATGTAACATAAATGTAAGCCCATCCTGATTATTTTTTTTTAATTTCCAAGAGAAACGACATAGTAGAAGGTACATCATATGACGAAGAAACAAAATTTGTACAAAACCAGTTATTTAAACAACTTACGAGTATTATATCAGCTGTAGGATGCATAATAATAGTTGATTTTTATTCCAATAAATCCAGACCACCTTGATAACATGTAGGTAGTCAACAAGGATATTGACATTGAGTATTGATACAAATTATCATTACGATATTGGTTTTTCGATGAAAACATAGAATTATAGGCACAACTTTGACATAAATCATAATAGAATATAAGTTGATGTTAAAAGTTAAAAAAAAACGACATTTTAACAAATATATAGTCATATTTCAAATAAGTTATTAGGTACATAATATTATTATGGTAGGTACCTATATTGAAACAACATTGAAAAACTAGTTCTATTTAAACTGTACAAATAAATAATAATTCCAACGTTGTAATTTGATTGCGCATATTATTAATGATTTAATTTTAAATTTCCTTTCCAGATAGGAAATGGTTGTCTCATTTCATTATAGGCTGCAAATACAATTTACAACGATCGAAACAAGTAATTGACGCATACTTCACCGTACGGGAAGAGCTACCGGATTTTTTCGGTGGATTGAGCGAACAAGATTTAAAAAATGCTGCTCACCACGGGTAATTTGTAGTGTTACACTCATGTATATATAAAAAAAAATTAAGGATACTCCCTGTACCTAAATAGATTGAAATCGCATAATGTGTAGCCATAGGCTATGGCCTCTGAAATCGACCATTTTATATAATAATATGTTTGATTCAGTTATAACTCGAGTTCGATTGTTAATGACCAAAAATATATTAAAATATGCCCTTTTAAATGTTAAAATATAAAATCATAGGCTTTTATTAAAATCGGCTAAAATGTTTTAAGAATCGGCTGAGTTTTCAAATAGCTGACTTGACAATGTTATTATTTATATTATGTCAAGTTGACATAAAATAAGTTTAATTAAGTAAAAAAGTGTTTTACATATCAGGATAACATTGATTTGTAATAATGTTGCTGTTGCTGATGTTTTCAAATTTAAAAGACCAATGAGGATTATTTTACAAAATTTTATAACCAGAATTTTCGTTTAATACTTTTTCTAAAAGTGTGTATAATTGTCTATAGCTCATAGCCGTAGGTAAATACGTTTAAAGATAACAATAAAATGGAACATTTTTAATAATTATTTAGGTACTTACAAGTATGTTACTAAATCTAGAAATAATCATTATATAGGCGAATATATGCTTAAAAGTATCAAATATGCAAATAATGCAATAAAAGTTTGCAGATTTGAAATTTAGACAGTAAATCGAATTTATGTCTTGTTTGGGTATAATTCAGAGTGGATAAACATCCTAGTAGTAATTATAATAAATAATAAATTCAAAATTTGGGGTTTTACACTCTTACCTATTTTTTTCCTTCTATTTCTTAATTTAATTTTTTTTCCAGACATATGAGTTTGTTCCCGAAACTAACACCAAACGGTGAGAGAGTTTTTTGCACAAGAACCCATCCCACATCTGATGACGATCAATTTGAAGCCCAGCTGATCATTAAAACGGCTATTGCAGTTTTGGATTTAGAACTGAAAGATACACCAATGTATGGAAACATAATTCTGTTAGATTTGGAGTTCGTTCGTTTGAATCAATTTTTGGCCTGTACCCCGACTTTGACCAAAAATCTTCTGCGGTGTACCATTGTAAGTAAAAATGTAGTTTCCCTTCCCAACTCAATCAATAATCGTTAACTATTTTTATTTTGTTTTATAGGACGCATTCCCGTTGAGAGTAAAAGCTATTCACTACGTGAATCCACCTAAGTTCATGAGCCGTCTCATTAACTTCTTCAAAATGTTTTTGCCGAACAAAATCAAGGACAGAGTAAGTACATAATTAATATTTTACATTTTCCAATAGAATTAATAAAAAAAAAAGTAACAAGATATCGCTCCCAGTCATATTGGAAGCAGATAAAAAAAATCTTCTCGTTATAATACACATTTAAAATTTACTTACTTACAGAAATGTATTAAGAACTTTTTGCGCTTGATATTTATCTAAATATATTTGTATTTTGCAGTTGTTCGTACACGACACATACGATAGTCTTTACGAACATGTTTCTAAGGATGTTTTACCAGAAAAATATGGCGGCTCAGCTGGAAAAATTGAAGAAATGGAAGGTAAGTGTTTACAGCTTACATAAAATATAATGAACACACACACACACACACACAATTATACATGAATTGACATAATATGTTTACAGATAAACTGATTGAGCATTTACTACAAAACAAAGAATGGTTCGAGAGTCGGCCAAGAGCAGATTTGTCAAAACGTCCTTTTTCAGAGAAAACCGATGATCTTGGAACTGACGGTACATTTAAGAAACTCGCTATTGATTAAGCAAGGAACGCTACTTCTATTTCATTAGGTATTATTAATTTCAAAAAAATATATTGGTTTGGAAAAAAAAAATGGAACATTATTACAAATTATTTCAAGAACTACCTATACTTAGAAGTTAATTGATTTGAAAGAAATATATTTATACCTGTTTAATGCAAAAATGTTATATTGATTATAATTCTTCTATACTTTTTAATAATTATTGATGTATGAACTACACTTAAAAAATGTGTAGTTGTTTTAACAATAATAACACATAGAAAAAAAACATTACCAAGCGGCCTAAACAGAATTTAAAATGACTTGTACATTCTCACATTTAATAATCATGTTTAGTTGCCTCACATCTTTGAGAACTTGACACGTTCCTGACGCTTAGGGAAATAAACATACTTCAAGCAACAAAGACATGTATAAAAGCATAGACACTCTGACCTATAAAAGTTATTAGTTTATTACATTATCTATTGGTACATGTAAAAATATCACACCTTATGTAGATTAAAAACATTATTTTATAGTCAATTGTTAATCACTTGATTTATCTTGAGTAATATTGGGGTACAACAATCTGTAATGATAATAGGATAGATGGAAGAAAATTAATGAAGGTTAAAAATTAAAATAACCATGTCATATCATAACAAATATATTATATTATTTATGATAAAAAATGTAAAGATATCTAGAAAAGATACCAATAGATAGTAAATGTACACATTGTGTGAAATTTTGAAGATTAAAAACATCTTAAGACCAATTTAATAAAAAATTATGTCGCGTACATACTAAAATAAAAAAATAGTACTACTAGGCACAAATTTTGTAAAAATTCAAAATCGCACACAGAGTAAAACATGTAGGTAAATTTTTCTCGATACCTTCTAATTTTTATATTTTTTTTATACAAAAAGGAACACAAAATTAAATATTTAAAAAAAAAATAAAAGTAGTGTAATGCCAAAAACTGTAGCACGTCTAAAATATTCAATGCACAATAATACTGAAGTATAAATGTTTCTTAATACTTATATTAAGCTACCATAGTTTTCGTTTCTACACGTAGAATTATTTTTTGGCTGCTTGTTTTCATTGTTTATTTGATTGTCACTGTTAGATTCACTTTTCCCATTAACCGACGTATTACTAGAACGATAATAAGAAGAAATAATAATTTTAAATAAGTAGGTACCAAAAAAAAAAGCATTTGGATTTAAACCAGCCATACTCAACCAGCGGCCCACCAATTGTTTTTATGTAGCACAAAAAGAACTCATTGAGTTGATACAAAAATAGTGAAAATAATGTCTCAATATCAAAAATTCACTAATTAAAAAAAAATATTTAGTTTTTTTATACTAAATTATCAAATGTTATACATAATAAATAATAATATATAAATGTATTTAAAATGTTTTTCTTAAATCCCCTTCTCTTTCATTTCGACTTAAGCAGCCCATGTAATATTTCAAAATATTTTATGTGGCTCAAATAAAATAAAAGTTGAGTATGGCGGATTTAAATAATTATTACCATGTTTTTAGAATGTATTATAAGTTCTCGAATAGGAGCACTATTTTTTTCAGAAATTGTAGCATAATTTTATTAAGCGGTGGTTTTTTTAGGGGTAAAATAAATACGGGGAACACTTTCATAGTAAAAGTAAAAAAGTCACCCTACTTTAATTTTTTCAATTTGAGCACTGTGAATTATTAAGATATATAAAATTACAAATTAAATTTATCGCTAAAAACGTAGGTATAGTTTGCTGTAGAAAATAGATACTTTTTTAACTGTGATATTTTTCTTTCTTGGTAAGCAGTTATACCAAAGTTTAAGTAGTACATTATATAATTTGATTAAGCATCAAAAGACTTAAAAACAATAGCCTTTAATGAAGAAAATATGTAGTTAAATGAAATAAAAACTAAATTGTCTTGGTTCAAAAATGAATCTTATCAAACAACTTAAATTCCATAACAAAGAAGTCAACGATAAACTCAATAAATTATTTTGGAATATAATAAGTTAGTTTAGCTACACGTTTCGATTTTGAAATAATATAATATTTACCTTATAGAATCCGTGTTACGGTTTCTCCGATAAGCAAATCTTCTACGCAAAGATGGAGGCGTATCGATGGCGAACGGGCTATACATTTTAGTAGGCGTCCTACCTAGTAAACACTTAGATCTAGTTTTTGGCGTATTGGGAGTTAACGGCGACTCGTCTAATTTAAACCGTCGTCTAGTTGTCGGCCTCAATTTCTTAAACAATAAAACGATACGATAAACCTGTACGTTATCTGAATAGAATAAAAACATATAATAATAATTTTTTACCTGTGTTGCCATTTTGAATCCAGTCCTCAGTTTGTTCATGGATCTAAACACTGAACTGACACTGTGCTTCAGCGCATCGCTCTTTTTCGACACCGTGTTGACGGCTACTTGCCATACTTGCGAATTGCAATTCCTCGATTTCGGACTTCGCCTGACCAATGAGTACGGACATTCTTCGTCGAACCTGTCACGTATCTGCCTTTGCATGTCCTCCTCGACAATGCTCTCCGTCATCCTTGTCGGCTTGCAGCATTCGTTGCCGATGAAACTCAATCTTCGGCGCATCATTTTTACAAAAAAAAATTTAAAAAAACAAAAAACCTTTTAAGTAGGTAATAATACAAACAATAAATTTGTAAATGATAAAAAAAAACAAGACGTAACGACTACAGTGCGAACTTAATATTTTTACAAAACATTATATGTTAATAGTACAAGAAGAAATTTTAAATCGTATACAATGCAATATCACAGTTGTCTTCACGGAAAATATGTAAACGCATGTCGCATTGTTCGGTTTCGGATACACACACTATAGCCCAACACAGGTATACAGCTGCTGTAAAAATGATAACCGTTAAAATTCAAAACATTTGGTGGGAGGTATAACGGTGACCGAAGCCCTTGCCCGCGTGCATACTGCATAGGTAACATCGTGATTTACGACCCCGCCGCAGTGTGACCACGTGGCTAATAAAATAAACCCAATGGCGGGAAAACGTATTTCATTCGAAATATTTAGTACTACAATATTATATAATACAGCCCGATGCGGGCTACTAATTTGTCGTGTAGAGACTAACAAGTACTGGCTAAGCTGTCAACGGTTCCCACTTCCCAGCTACCCATACATAATTATTATAACCTAGCAAAAAAAAAAGACGGGACGACGGCGCATTAACCGTTGTAACCACAGTGGTAACTTGAAAACTTGTTATCATCTAGAAACCTATGACCGAACACTGGACTACTGCGGCCAGGGCAGGATTTAAGGGAGGGGGGTTAGAAGGCTCCTCGTGGCCAAGTCGTGATTATTAAGTTATAACTATATTAACTATTTAATCTTAAAATTTCAAAAATAAAACCATTTAAACTTATTGTCCCCTTAATGTCCATTGTCCAGCACAGTGGCGTATATATGGGTAAAGGGTTTATGAGGGACAGATATCTTCCCTCGACTTTTACAATTAACCAACACTCTAGCACCGCAGAGTAAAAGATGTGTAAAGATAAGTGAACAACTAAAAATATTGCTATTGACTCAGAATTACATGCATTAGATATTTGTGACAAAGTGTTTTATCTAATTGTTCTACTGCTACGCCTGAAAGATGTTGGTCAATTTTCAAAAGAAATAAGTCCTATCTTGGAAACAGTTTGACAAAAGTAAATATTTTATAATTTTTCTGCTTATCTGTGGGTGTTTCTAATATATATATATATATATTATATATATATATATTAATATATATATATATATATATAATACTCGTATATACATTTTTGCGTTACATTTTAAATATTAACCTATAGGTAGGTACATAGAATTTAAATATAGGTACGATTAAAAACGGATTATATTACATCACGTGTAAAAATATCGTAATTTTGTTTAATGAATGATATTACCTATACAAATTAGTGTTTATTATTGACCAGATAATCGATACAAAAAACTACTAAAACATTTTGAATTATTATATTTTATTATTTTTATCGCTATAAACTCTATATAGGTGCCAGTCCGTTATTGATTATAATAGAGATTACATTTAATTATTTGTAAAATACATGTAAGAAGCAGTAAAATAGTTCTAGTTACTAGTTACTAAAAATATATATTATACCCAACGAAACATTTTTTTTTTAATATGATAAAAATCATGATTGAAATATATAAGGTTATTACATAACCTAAAAGGGGCACGTATATCCCTTCTTCATAAAATTGTCGATGATAAAAACAAATATGTAAGCGTAAAGGGATCAAGTATAGAAATACACGGTAAAGTAACATACTTATGTAGTATGTCGAATAGTTTAGTATAGAGTAAACCTGATTATCCCCTTATGCTGCCATTTTGTTTCTGAAAATGACAATTGGTCGAGAAGATGTGCAATAACCTATATATTTCAACCATGATAAAAATTAATATTTAAGTGTACAAGTAAACAGTATGACGACGTAAAGGACACTAAAAAAAACACTTATTTGGACATTAAAAACTTGGAAATAATTGATAGGACGTTATTTCGGGGTTTTTAAAGTTCTGTCATATTTATTTTTGTTTTTTTTTATTATACTTGCGGTGTTTGAAAACGGGTCGTATACAAACCCTAAGCTCGGATAATCGTGTTTCATAAAATCTTGTATGCGTTTTCTGAGTTTGTCCGCTATAATTGTCGTCACTCTCGCCAACCGAACGTCAATGGTGGTGTCATCTTCGAGATAATTTATGGTTTCCAAGTAGTTGGTCGAGCAGCAAAATTCTTGAAAGTACCGACCCAAACGCTGTTTGGCCGTCGACGAGACCGCCTGCATGTCCATAGTGTGCGTTGTCAACGCCGGCAAAACGGCCAGGGCGCGTTTGCGCGCGTACGCCGGTCGCTCCAACATTGCCATTTCGACGGTGCCCGCGAACTGGTCCAGAATGTCGGAAACCACCTTGTTCAACCGCGTCAGCGGAGACAGCTGGTAAAAGTATATGAACGCCCCCCGCATGAGCATCACGACCACGTCGATGTCCCTGAGAGTTTCCGCGATTAGTTGTTGGCATTCTATCACGTTCTGGGCGTCGTTCATTTTCAAACAGTGGTTGCCTATGTCGGCGTGCGAAACGAAACAGTCGATCAGGAATTTGGCCATCTGGCAGCTCAACAGTTGATGGGCCCGTCTGAGCTTGTTGTTAAAGTCTTTGTCGGTGTCGGCCGACAGCACTTGTTGCCTGTTGTACTGTTGTCCTTTTCGTACGATACTCAAAGCGTCCTGCCGGACCCATCCGGCGTGCGCTAAAAGCTCGTCCAATGCGTCCACCGGGCTTTGCACAGTTTGCAGCGTTCCGCTCGAGTCCGTCGGATCGTCGTACTCGAAGCCCATGCTCTCGAAATCCGTAACGAAACGGTTGACCATCTGCCTGACGTTGGTCGCAATGTAGCTCATCGCGGTTTTCCGGCGCGTTTGCGCGCCCGTGACAGGACAGATGTAGTTGTTGGCCCAGTCGAACTTGTAAACGGTCGCCGCGCTGACCATCGAAACCGGCGAGCAATACTTCTTGAAGAACGGCAGCAAACGGTCTTTGAGCGTTTTGTCCAGGTAGTTGAAGATCGCCCGGATCCGGCTTTGGTTTATTTCCAGTGAGTCGTTTTTCCATTGGCGTTCGTCCAACACTTTTGCGAGGAAATGGCCTGCCAGGGAGACTAGGATTTTGTTGAAATCGTTTTCCTGCACGGGTTTGTTCGAAAACAATCGGCGCAAATCCCACAGCGCGCTTTCCATACGCTGTACCAGCCGAACGCCGTCTTTTGCGCACTGCCTGAGTTTTTCTAGACAATTCCTTTGATCGGATCCAGTCGACATGAATACGAACTGATACGCTATGCCCATCGCGTAATCGCAATAGGTCATCAACGTTCTGGTGTATTTGCAGCCCAAAAATTGACAGGTGTGTCCGATTTTTAAGTTTACGTTGCCGGCGGTCACTATCCGTTGGCCGTCTTTGGCCGCCGAAAGCAAACCGTCTACGCCGCAGGTGCTTTTGTCTTCTTGCACTATTGCCAATTCACCTAAAGCCTTCCATCCGGGACACTCCAACAGCCGGTTTATCTTGTCCACGAGGTCGCCCGACGCCATGCACGAGCAGTAAAACACCGCAAAATAAATACACGAAAAACCGCCGACCTGCATTTTAGGCGCAACGAAAAACTAGGAAAATTGGTGTACAACTATTGTTCCCAACACTAAGGAAAACCGCACTAAATATAATACCAAATAGTCCACGGTGGAAATGTTGCACACTACACTTGTAAATTACAGAAAATATATATTTGATTTAATATAAACTGTGTCCGCATAACGTTTGATTCTTTACATCAACTACGCCGGCACAAGTGTCTCTTTATTTGTACACGAATATTTTTAAATAGTGCGTATGGCTCTGTTGTTTATTCTCTTTTTACACACTTATTTTTTTTTTTTAGCTTCGGTGCATAGCTGCGAAGGTATTGTCTTTGGATATTTATTTATTTAGTTTTGTTTTTTGTGCCCTTATTTAGCCACTGGACCGATTTCTTCGTGTAGCAACTCTATAGATCAGAAATCGTACTTATGGGGTACTTTATTAGACAAAAAATTAAATCATATCTCTCCCCTTCCCCTCCAAAATCGAGAAAAACATCTAATTTTACATTTTCGCAACTCAAAATTACGACGCTGTATAACTTTTTTTTTTAAAAAATAGTAGAATTTGTTCAAAATCAAAACCAAAAAAAAAAAAATCATAAACCTTTTTTCTTTATTTCACTTTTTCAAGCAAAGTTTTATGGATTTAGGTCTGAAAATTAGACCGAAGGTAGATCTAGAATGGAACTATAACTTAATATGTCAAACTTTTTTTGTTTTATCAAGGAAAAAACCCAGAAAAAATGGGAAAATTACACTTTGAACGTAGTCAATTTCCAGGTTTCTATGTGTGAGTGAATCAGCAGTCAACAGGTAATTATATTTATTAGCTTTGTACAGAAAGTATTTATTACCGGTTTTTAATGGAATATTAATAGAATATTTTGTTTTTATTAGAGCATACCTATTAGCATCATATTTTGCACTTTTTAAAAACCTAAATGTCCGCTTTCTAGTTGACAACAGCTCCTCGGAAAATGGTTGTATAGAAAAAAAATGTTCAGATACAAACATTTATTTTGCTCATCCGTGTACAAATTAGCATAAAATAGAAATAGTAGTTTAACATTTAATACCAAAAAGTCGACATTGACATTTAGTGAAAACGATAAGGGTGCGCGAACAAGTATAGAAAACAATCTGACATAGTCTGTATGTTAAGAATGACTTCTTATAAATAAGATTATTGCAACTAAAAAAAAAACCCCAAAAAACCAAAACACACGGACGACGGTAAACAGCAACAGGCTTCCGTCGCCGAGGTCACGAATATCGATCCACGCATGGGCCCTTGTGCCGCGTGGGCGGAGCGACGCCCGTCTTCGTCTCGCGTGTGTGCGTGTGTAGGGCTCGTCGAGGCGACGCGCAATAGAATATTATTATTATTATTATTGCGCCTGGACAGCAAATGTCGCATACAACAACAACAGCAGCAGCAACGATCGTGGTGCGCGGTGCGTTGGTCGTGGTGCGCGTTTCGTGACCGCCGCCGCCGTCGTCGTCACAGTGCGCCAAGTGTGATAATATATATTTTTTTTATCTATAATATTGTTATTATGTGACGAGACCGTGTATTGCGGCTGAGCGCGCGATGGGTTCGCTGCCGAATCTGCACGAACTGTGCAAACTGGAACAGCCGGCTGCGTGCAAGCCTAGGCTGTCGCCGAATCCGGAACGCGGCGACCGCGCCGCGGCCAACAACATCAACAACCGGGCACATCACAGGCGGTTACTGCAGACCAACAGTTTGTGCACGGCCAACTTCTTCGGCATCGTCTCGCCCGACAAACAGCCCGACATGCAGATAAACGAGGTCGGTCGCACACGGTGTTGTTATTGTCGAATATCATATTTATACTGTTGAGCCCTTCTTACTTTTAATCTGTCCATCTTAGTCAATATAAGTATTATCTAACCAATAACAGACACAGTCTAATCCAGGCAATTGGCATAGTCAATAGCTGGTATTTTGCTAACAGATGCGACCACTATAGTAGTATCGTCTAAACGTAGCCTAGCACCAACTAAATCAATAGATACGTTTCAACAAAGGCCTTTAATACATCTAAATAAATGGCACGTTCTAACCGAATTGATGACAGTCATCCTCTTGAGTGCAACAGATGCAAGCAATATAGTCTAAAAGTCTGACAATATCAATATAGATACATTCAAATACAGGGTAAATTATTGTAGTTCTACAATATATTCTAACGGTATTGATCATTGTCGCTTGATATTTTATTTACAAAACAGATATTATTATTATTTTATTTTTTTACAATAATTCTATTTTCATGAATCAATGTGTCTGTAATATCCACATTGTTATTTTTAAAACCAGATATGATGTTGTCTTCAAAATGTTGTCTTACGATTATACAGTAAGTGTTTTTGCTCTAAAAGAACCACGAACTTAGTAAAACGCATTCTGTGTAACTATGTTTAGCCAAAAAAATAAATTAGCTACCAAAAATGAGTTCTAATTACTAAGCTAATAATTATACATTACAGTTTAAGCTTTAAATTAAGATTTTGTAAAAAAATTGCCTATACCTAATTCCTTAATAAATAGCCTTTATCACGTTTAATTATAAATCCTTTCAGACCCCGTGTCCGTTACCCTGTACATCTTTTTTTTTGTCACGTTTTATCAATTTTATCTTAAAAAATAGTTAAATAAATATAGACGAGTCTGGTTATTTCCCATAAAAATGTGCCAACAATTATTCGATAACGTTATTAACTTTCTGTCCTAAAACCGAAAAATAAGGAAAAGGAATATCGTCATAGAAAAAAACACGTTCACACTTGTCATTTTTGACTCTATAATGACTTAAATTGATTTGAATTAGTTTTTTACACGATAAATAATTTGCTGAAAATTTAGACTGGTCGATTACCAGTTTTGAGTCATCATTACTATTAAAATTACAAATTTAGGAATTCAGGTGGAGCGCGGTTGAGTAATGTAGTAAAAATAATAAATGTTCAGCAAATTATTCTCAATTTAAAAAAAAAGTAACTACTTAAATGTATCATCTGGCTTTTGGCTGAAGAAAAACAATACAAATTATTATTGTTTGATAAAAATCGAAAACGTGTTTTGCATAGATAATTTTATCAAAAATTTAGTACATAATCAAAAAATCAGCTGTAACGTGATATTATGCCCTGTAATATATATATATATATTTTATGGTAGGTTGTTTAATCAATAATGTATTTATAATATACATAATATTTATATTAGTGCCGACGTTTTCGACAACAAAATAATAGTTAAGACGGCGCCTTGATTATGCAATTTCGATACACGGCCGCGTTCAGAATAGTAGTATTACACAATCGTTGTTTTTTCTGTATTTATTTTTTTACTTTTGTACTCAACATAAAAGTAAATTCACCGGATGAAGGCCGGTAGTTTTCTCGGGTACTTCCTTCCAGGTACTTTCCGTGCAACAAACACACTATTTTTTAACCGGATCCACCGGTCTACGGTGACGACTTAAATAAAAAACACATAAACTCATAAGCCACATACAAATACTTATTGCAAAAGTTCTGATTGGTTCAAGCCTTGATAAATGGACCGGCAATGAATAGGCGCAGGTTTAAAAAACAAATCATATCTTGTGTCTAACCGAAAAAATTTGAACAGTTTTGAGTGATATAAGATTTGAAGCACCTATTACATTTACACCTCGTACACAAAATTTAGTTTTGAAAATATTGTAAATTTCAAACACAATAACTTAACAAAAAGTATAAGTATAGTAATATAATGTAAATGGTATGTAATTTTAGTAATAGTGCATTAAAGACCATGTTCGTTAATTGCCAAGCTATAAAAGGTATTTATTATTTTTTTTTATTAAAATAACTTTCATTTTGCAATTATAAAATATACTGTGTTTATTTCAAGTATCAATCAAAGTTTTTATCAGCACTCTTATCACTGCATTATCTCTTTTATCAATTGATTTCCCTCTTTCGGGTCGTTTCATAACTGTGAGTTATGCCCAATACCCTTTAATTTTCTCCTTCCATAGGTTTGTTCTTTAGTTGTTCAGTTGTTTGTGACAGGCTAATTATTGTTGTCTTCGGAAAGTTTTTCCTCGAAGGATGTCTTATGTCTGATTCTTGTTTTGCTGCCACCTCTCGCCTTATGTTAGGAGGTGCGGGCCGTCGTTCTTAAGACACGGGGGTCTGCGCCCCATTGAGAACCTATCAGTTCCTTATTCCTATTCACAGTGACTTCTACAAGTCAGGACTCGATCAAGTTTGACGCCTAGGTATTTTGGTTCATCGTAGTGCTCCAAGTCAAGTACACAAAAACATAATATGTGTGTGTGTGTATGTTTAATTCGACGAGGCCTGAATTTTTTTTAACAATTACATCTAAATAATAACATAATTATAATTGTATATTACTTATTATTATCCGTTGATCATTGACACATTTCAATAATAACATTATTTATACATGTACCTGTACATACAGGTGAATATATATATATGTATAAATATAATTTTTTTTTTTTATACATTTTATTACAATGCGCAGAAACCGTTTTCGCCGACTTCACTGCGGTCAACGATTTCGACTACTCACCGTCAGATATCAATTACGAACACGACCTCGGTCAAGAGGCGCGACTCGTTGTCTAGCTCGGCGGGAGCCTCGTCGGTGCGTCGCCTCATCGAAGTCGTCCGCACTACTCCGTCCAACATGGGGCCGGTCTATAGTCGTCGGCTGCTGTGCCGCAACTACGTGACACTGTGTCTGGGCCACGGTGCCGCCGCCGCCGCGTTGGTTCCATTCCTGGCGTTACAGGTGTGTACTTAAGACAACAGCGATAATATAACTTAGAAAAAACTCGACACGTTGCACAACGGGCACCACCAAATTGACGTTAGTTTTCCCGTTTGAAGGAAAACGGATTGGGCAGTAAGCGAAAATGCTAGCTGTAGTACAATGCTCACAATGAATTGGTTATATTGTAAGCGATTGTACCTGGTTATAATAATGTTGTATTTTTTGGTTAATTTTTATGATACTAAACCGAATGGTAAAAAGCCAAAACAGTGTGGGAGGAGTGGCCTATGGTGAGGTATTGAAAAAAATCTTAATTAACTTTTGTAAATTAACTACTGAATTTTGATACCAAAACACACATTCCTCCTAATCACAGCGCCCTGAATATACGGGTATAGGCAACATTAATGTCATGTATGTACATGAAGTTGTGTGTTCTTTTTTAAAAATTATTGTTCATAAAATTATTAGAAAAGACGGTTCTATTGACAAGAAAACCTTTAAATATAATATTAGAGTATGTAAAAAATGGTTTTTTTGTACAACCGATTGCAGTTTGTTTTCGAATAAACAATTAAATTACAGTAAGACTATAAAGTAATTATATTTAAAAAAAAACAATGTTTTAAGTTTTATTGCGTTTTTTCAAGCAATCGTTTTTTATCCGTTCTATAATTTACGATGAAAACTATTTAATTAAAAAATAAAGCTTCGTGTGTATTATTATGAAACTTTGAAAGTAATATCATAGTAATTTAGCTGCATTATAAACGAGCGTCGAGTTTTAATATTTAATTCTAACGGCTCAAGGGAGAATTACTACAATCTGTGAAATTTTAATCGTTTCATACGTCTGGATAGTACTTAGAGTTTTACAGCTGTTGGATAATGAAAAACGTTACTGTGTTAGCCACTTGGCGGACTTTAATTAAAACTTTTGTCGATCAAATTAAGATAAACGGAACGCGAACGTTTAATTACTTCATAATACTAACGGCTATAACGTTTAGTTTCATTAATGGTTATCTACTTTATGGATTGTCTTACAGGCGTTTCATGTTATAATATGATTATCATAGAGAATTGTAATTTACGAGTTATTGTTTTGTTGGTGGCTTATGGTGCACAACTGTAATAGGTGTGTTGAATGTTTAATAATGATGGGGGGGGGGGGGGTAGAAAGAAAATTGTATAAGACGTCAGTGTCACATAAACTATTGATCACTGCATTTCTATCTTCATATAAACATCTATATTATATTATCAAATAATATATTATTATCAATTTATGAGACCCCGGTGAGCATTAATTTTGTTTTCATTTTCTGGTGTCACGCTATTTTTTAAAATAATCGTTATACAAATATTTCATAAAAATATATAACTTATAATATAACCATTCTTATCAAAAATTTATAAGCTAACAATATTATTAAAATCAATTTTCCTACAACATTTAAAATAAAAAGAGTCAAATATCTTAAACAATATAGTTTTAATAATTTTATTGTTATAAACTATTGTACTTTAACTACATAATAACATAAGTAAATATCCAAGGGGGAGGTGATCGCCCCCATTGCCCTTCCTAGTATACACCCCTGCAATCATTCACTAAGAGTGCTTATTATGATGTAATCGTTAACGTTTGTTTAGGGTTCGATATCCGCCTGGTGGTGGCCCGATCAGCTGAAACAGAACGGCGGACTCGCCACTGTGACGACGGACATCGGTTCCGTGCTGTTGTCCGCCATGTTCGGTGTGGCCGCCTTGAGCGCGCTGCTAGGCCCCACGGCCGTCCAACGGTTGGGCACCAGGACCTGCCTGGTGGCCGGATATCTGGTAGCCGTGGCGTTCGTGGGCGTGCACCTGTACCCCAAAGTGACCGTGCTGTGGCCCGGTTACTTGCTGATGGGCGCCTGGCTGGGCTGCTGGACCGCGTCGCGCACGGCGGTGCTGATGACTTTGTCGTCGAAAATGGCCTACGTGCTGTCCGACCGGGAGGAATGCGAGCTGGAGGGCAACGGTCGGCGGGAGGCGGTGGCCAGAAACTTGGCCCGAGGACTTCAGGTAAGGAAACCCGTGGGAATATTACGATCCAGTGGTTAATTTGGATTCTCCGTTTGAAAAGGGGAAGAGATCATCTTTTTCAACGTTTAGCCTTATAAGGTACTTTTGATCAACGCGTCCTGGTCTATTAAAACACTATTAAGGTTATAGTAGACAAAAAAAAATATGTAAAAAAGCACGTCATTATAAAATAATCATCTCTTCAGCTCCACACGTTGAAGCTAAAATAATATTCTAATGACTTTCAAACAAAAATCACATGTGAATATGTGAACTCTCGACAGTCAATTGTCAAATAATGATAATAGCTAGATATTTTTTTTGTTTTTACAAAACAACATTTTATCCTGTTTCTGCTGATTCGATGTGCTTATTAACAATAATTATAAGTGACAAAACTGATTCATCGTTTGTAGAGCTCTTGTAAGCTGTCTCGATTTTTCGATGAAAATAGGTTGTTTTCCTTTGAGAGGTTTCATGCGTATTTATTTATCAGATTTTAAAAATTATAAAAAAAAAAATTTGAACTGAAAAGTCAAGTGTTGATGAAATAAGATAGGATTACATTGCGTCATTACTTATAAAAAAGCTTTTATTGGATTTTAAGCCAAACGCTATCGACCAAAAGTCATTAATGCGATTTTTTTCGTTAAGTAAAAGTGACTTGTCTATATTTGTATTTTATTGTCTAAAAATATAATTTTATTCTATTAACATAAATATGAAAATCAGATTTGATTTTCATAAATTCCTTATTTTATTTGTTGTTTTTTTAAACATGGATATGTTCTAGGACTGTGAGTTTATATGAATTTAGCATCATTAATTTCCCGTTACCGTTTTCCCAATAGTGGTACAAACAGCTGATTACAAAAGCTATTAAGAGACAGCTGATAATAGCTCTTGATAAGGGACAGATGATAAGAGATTAGTGAAAAATGCAGGGAAAGATATTGTAAAACGGAAGGGGAATCGTAGATAGAATGAGAGGAAGGAGGGAAATGATCATAAACATCAGCTGGTGGCGAGGATGACTGAAAAGCATATCCATGATTCATTTCATGAAATGGTGAAAATGTTCGAGTCAAATTTGATATCAAACGTGTTTTATTTTAACGATATCGTTTTTCCATAAAAAAAAATTAACATAAAAATTGACTTGTGCGAATCGTGTGGCATTTGCAGATGGCCCACGACATCGGCTTGATCGCAGGAAACGCTTTTGTAGCGTACATGATAAAAGGCACAAGAGCCGATGCCGCCCTTGGATCCATGTTCGCTAACGACAACGAAGGAGCCGACAGGACCTGCGGTAGCGTGGCTTGTCCTCTGGTCAACACAGCGAAAATCGTTCTAAGGCCGACCAATTCCACCAACCTGACCGACCCGGTGGACGTCCGAAACTATATGATCCTACCGTGTAAGTGTAACCCAACGTAAAATATATTGTGAATCAGTTTTAACATGAATATGTCAATTCAAAAATGTCTGGAGAACTTTTCATTAAGATCAAAACCTGTCCCATTGGTGACTTATAATACGAGATAAGGAACGGTGATAAGAGATAAGGTCATCTATAGTAAGGGTCTATGGTCTTTTTGACATGATCACGTCTTTTGGTTATGGAGTCTATCTGAAAATCGTAAGACAGATTCGATCAGCAGATAGAAAATCAGATAACCATTATAGGCATGTTCATGATCCAATGTCTTTCCTTTAAGGGACAGTTACTCAACATTTGTAAACGTTGTAAATTCAACGTCTTTCGTTAGTGTTGCATCGTTGTACTGGTTCCTGTCTAAAATAGCTATAATTGTCATTCTTGCATTGCATTGAGCAATTTGAGGAACTCTTAATATTTCTTCTTCAACCAATTATGGCAGGTTATGGATTTAATTCCGACTTTACGTTTCAGGTAAGACCACACAGCTGTTGGCCAGCGTGTTTGCCGGATGCTGTTTTGTCGGAGTGGCTGTCACGGTGACGTTCATGACTCGCATCCGACTGTTTGTGTATGCATCAGCCACCGAAAAACGCAAATCCAATGGAGCCCGTTCGTTCGGTGCAGTTCGCGATGCGTTTCGCAACACTAAATTGCAACTTATCGCTCCACTGTCAGTGTTCATCGGCCTCGAACAAGGATTCATATACTCGGATTTTTCTAAGGTAACCGCGATTCAAATGAAAAACCACGCACAGCACCTTAGGCGCAAATTGTAGGAAGCTTGTAACACACCGCTATGCTATTTCTGAAATTAGCAACACCAAAATTGTCGTTTGTGTTTCGTACCACAAGTAGTGAGGAGAATAAATTTTCGAATGCTTCGTGAACTTAAGCAACTCCCGCCACCCTTATTATTTATAAGGTTATCGAGCCTCTGCATAGCTTGTCGATTAAATCCAACCGTTCGCCCACTGTTCTTACATTTCGTATAATTATAAAATAATCTATACCGACACTAGGTTGACCCTACGACGGCCATATCAGGCCGTTCGTTTTGATACGAACCACGATGGCGGTTTAGTCTCGAGGTCATAACATAATAATAATATTATTATTATAACAAAAGTATCGTTGAAATAAAAAACCCACTAGTCAGGTTTTTTTTTAATTCGACTGATTTATGGGTGAAGTCGTACCGTAAAATCGATTCCGAGCCAGCATCGTTAATCACGTTATGATATTATTATACTTATAGATTAATATATTATATAACAATTATTATACATTCATAGTAGAGGGTGCGACCGATTAACACGAGTCGTACGCGGAAGTAAACTTTAAATGTAATAACGATAATAGATACAACATTTAATACTAATTTGACATTGTGAGTATAAATTATGCTCTTAAATATTCGTTAACACCCATGTCCTAAAATATAATAAACACTTAGAACATTATGTAATATTTACGGTGACTGGATTAATATTTAAGTACTAGAAATACCGTTTGATTGAAATCAGACGCACAGATTTATGCTCAAGTTTAAATACTATCAAAAATGAGCATAATTAAAACAAAATATGTAACCGGTCATATTTCATGGTTAATGTAACCCTGTCCACATAAATACCCTGCTTAATTCTTAAGTATTGACCAATGCATCGATTATCTGCTTGTAAGACTTTTTTTTTTTAAATTTAAGTTGCAGATATAATGTTTATATGAACTTTAATCATAAGTGGTTAATAGTGGTTTTTTCTTTCAACGGCATCTATATTATTTATGGTACATTCAACTTCATTATTTCAGTCTTTTCTGTGTTACAACATCAATTTCAAATTTTAGCTTCGACTCAAAGATGAGGATATACATGTTTTTTTTTGAATCGCATGCAAATCGATGTACATGGTTTTAATAAACCGCTTAAAGGTATATCTCTGTTTCCTAGTATTGTGGGATCAAGGTTAGGGGAAATAATTTTAAAATACAAAAAAAAAGTGAAGGTTATGAAGGCCTTTGTTCATGAACAACCTACACGTCATGTTAATGGAGTTATTTAAAAAACAAAACTAACGTATGCAATAAAACAAGAATGCGATACACTTACAAGAATTTTTTGGTTTTTTTATTAAACCTTGTTTTTCTCTAATTAAGGTTATTACGACTTACACCACTATGGTTTTAACCCCTTCATTTTGAAATTTGTTTTTATTAGATTAATTTATTCTATTAAATATTTCCATTATTGATTATTTATTATCGGATTTATTTAAAAAAAAGATAAAATATCGATTTTATTATTTTCAAATGAAAGTTAATTCCAAGTTCTGTGTCTGATTGATATAAGTATTAATCGAATATATATAGTTATTAGCCTAGTAATATACTATGACGTACTGTTCTATTACAGGTTAATTAACGAGAAAGAGATCCAAATGGATCCGTTTATTGTCAAGTAACACCAATAACAATAATTGTCCGTAATTAATTTTTCGTTTATTTTTATTTTCACTCTTCTAGTTCTACGTGGTGTGTTCGGCTGGCGTATCTAATATACCTACCGTGATACTGAGCTTGGGGCTGTTACAGTTGATAGCCGGATTTACAGTGAGCTTGATATTGCAACACATACGTCGATACCATATTATAGGTGAGTATAACTATCATTTTTCTTCTTAATTTTCTTTTTTTAACATGGATAAGGAACAATTGATAATGGCTCTTGATAAGAGAGGTTTTTCTTATTATTATTATGATTAGCATCATTACCTGTTTAACTATGTGTATGTTTTTTTTTATATATGTATATAGTAATTGGATTTGCGTTTCACTCGTGTTTACTGATGGTGCTCATGAAATGGAAACCGTCTGGCGACGATGCCGCACTTCTCTATGTCATAGCCGCCGCATGGGGCGTTTGCAATGCCATTTGGAACACGCTTTGTTTTAGTAAGTATATCTATATAATTAATATCATGTGTATAATGTGCATACATATCTTATATCGCGATAAAACTGCAATACCGACTCTTAACCGAGCCCAACAGAAATGGAAAAATATTAAATATACGTTTTTGTCCCGTTAAAGTCTCCGGCGCTTGCCCATTATTAGGTATGGTTTTAAAAATTCGTTATAATGACAGGCAAAAGACATTAGTTTTTTCGAATCGCTGTAAGGAGCTATAAACACAACCTAGTTGAACACTGGAATACAATTAAGGCCGTATCGATTAACATTAGAAATATATGTTGTTCTATTAGGCGCTTAGGTTAGGTTAGGTAGACATTCTGTAAACGGTTTCCCAATAGTTGTGGGTTTTTAAATTTTGATATTTATCATTATATAATATACCGGTTTTAATGTATTTGGCCTTTTTGAAAGTCTAGGTATTCACTCCCTGTTTATGGCCAGTTACTAAACGAGGAGCTTATAGAATCCAAGGGATACATTTGATATGCATTTATTGTCATAAGGACTACTTAGTTGTAGTATTCTCCGTTGAAATGTATGAAAATAAATAAGTGTTTTGAAATTGAAATATTAGTAGTTATTAATACCTATACTAGAAAGCGCTAATGGGCCTTGTATAACTTGTATATTAGGTCTAAATGAGCCACTCATTATCCATGAACATAAGCCTTTCCAAACAGAAGAGGAACCTTTTTTATGTACAATCAACTTCTATATTGTGTAAATAAATTATTCAAGTTTTACACAAATTGTTTTCTATGGTACAAATAAAAAAACTAGTTCTCGTTCGATATCCAAAAACCGATTATGTAATAGTTAATATCATACAAAGTATATAATGGTTTATGGCAACTATTTAAATTATTTTTTACTTGTAAACTAATTTAAAACGGCCTCAATTTCTTAACAGTTGAGGACCTCAAAAATATAGTGGCCTCAATTGGAAATGTCCTATCCATGTTTTTATTGTCTATGGTATCGGTGATCTATTATCAATAGTGCAATTTTGTTTTTGATAAGAGAACGTAACGGTTTCGTATGACGCAAATGATTTGTGATTTTTTAATCCTCTCCCTCCTTCCCAACCAGTTACAGAAGGCACAGCCATTGTTTTCAATACTTTAACTAACTACCATTTAAACGTTTGTATTTTCTTTTATAGATTTTGTGATATCTCTGTACCCGGAATGCTGGCACGGTCCAATGGCTCACGGATACTTCTTCCGGTACTTAGGCATGTCCATAGCTTTCGGCAGCCACAGTGTTGTGTGCAACACGACCAAGCTGTATTGTTTGTCGGCCGCACTGGTGCTAGCCGTGGTGCTATACGGTTGGTTGGAATTGAGACTTCAACAGACGGGCAAACGACGCAGGGCAGCGAGGTTATGACGGTCGGCCGGCGCAACCGGCAAGTAGCTGCCGGCCGCCATACTAACCTCAGATTACCAACAGGTCGCCAAAAAAAAAAGAAGCCAATTAGCCAAACAACGTGTTGCCCATCCTACCCTTGAAATGTTTATATTATCTGTTGTATTTTTAAAACGCATTTTTGGAATCTTTAGGCACGAGACTAGTGTTGTTTACTAAACTAAATACATGATAAACACGAGAATTATTGATTTCTTACTACTATATCGTATCGAAATTCGGATACGACTACCTTTATGTTTAATGTTAAAAAAAACATTAATCTAACATGTAAGTATTAACACAGATTAAATGCAAACAGATAATGCACTCTAAAAAAAGTCGAAAAATGTGAACAAACTTTAAAAACCACAGGTCATTGTGACAAACAAGTTAAAAAAAATTATCCTTGTGTGTGGTCAATGATATTTTATCAAACATCTGTAATGTTATCACTATCAACTACATGTTATCAGTTTAAGTTATTATTGTAAATATTGCATACAATATTTATGACACTGTATTTTGGTCCTACTGCATTAAGTTTTATTAACCAACTAACGTTATTTGGAAATCTATTGTTTTACTATAAAGTGCGCACTCTATGATTTTATTAAATCTGTGTTATTAATATATAAATATTGTTAAGTATTGTTAAAATTTAGTTTGCAGTAGCTCATAATAGACAACTTCACCTAACGTTTCAAACACTAGACATTGTAAAAACAAGATGCGTTTGAAACTGTAACCTCTTAGCCCTATTTCACTGTTATCGGCATAATAGGTGTATTTCTTTATGGCTAATGTAATAATCATCAATTAGTTATTATCAACTCATGTAAAAGTGTTTCTGAATAGCAGGCTGTATGTACCTGTGAGTAAGTTGATAAATTAGTATATAAAGACTTCAAGATTTTATTATTATTTCCAAAAACTCGAGCAATCGACAATTTTTTAGCCCCTATCCTTCAAAGTAAATATTCTGACTATGACATAGGTAATAATGCTAGTTCATAAGATATAATACGTTTGAAACATGTTTAACGCCTCTGTAATACTCTGTATTCAAAACTTACTGCCGTTACTTATTATAGAACATCAGTTATTTATAATAATTAAAATGACTGTAAAAAAAAAAAAAAAAGGAATAAATAAGTTCATAAATCGATTAAACTCTTTAAAATCGATATAATTAAATTACACAACAGTTTGAAGAGAACGTTATATTGCTGCTGGTGCCTAAAGATTTCAAAAAAAAAAAAATATTTTAATTAACGTTAAGTATAATTAAGTATATTTAAAGAAAAGCTAGTGTATTTTGTTTTAATGTGAAATCCACTAATAGTTGTATTTTTTAAATACGTGCCAACACATGATCTCACCGAAATGCGTTCGGGCTAATAGCTAACTCCATATAAAAAAAAATATTATCATAGTCTAATAGCTCATTCGTCGTTATAACAGTACTGTTAATTATTAGATTATTTGATTAATTATTATTATTACTGTAAAAGTACCCACCCATCGCATTATGTCCACGACAAACCATTTATATTGAACGGGACCATATTACCAATATTCTATTACCATGGATATTTATAAAATTGTATTGTGCATTGTACATTGGTTTTAAAACATATTTATTATAGTTTAAATGGCAAGCCGAATGTTCAATAACCAGTAATTCCTGAAAATTACATATTTTGGGTATTAAATTACATTGATTCGAGTTTAAAATTTGCTAAACAAAATAATTTTATTTTCCTAAAAGTTGGATGTTTTTAGAAATTATTTTTTTTCCTTTTTTTTTTTTGAGACAAAAGAAAAGATCTGTTTTTTTTGGGTAGGAAATTGTCTGCATTTTAATTTATAAATCTGTAATCTAGATTGAATATTGCAACGTATGATCGTTACAATATTAAGATGTCATTTCTCGCCTTAAATGGGATCGACCACACTAAAATCTCTCTCTCTCTTTCTCTCTGTATACTTTTCTTATCTATTTCACATACCACATACTTTAGATATTACCTTGAACCGCTCCTTCTCTTAATACAACTGTATTTTTCTAGTTCTTTTTTTCTTTATGACTTAATGTGTGTTCTTCATATCCAAATCTATTTCATTCTAACTAATTTAAGTTAGTCAATCTGATTCTTCTCGATTTGTCACCATCTCTCTGTACAGTCAACTATGGATTTGCTCATAATAACCTATACCCGTTTGTTCTTAAGTCAGGCTTTACCTCTTCTTTGATCTCTCTTGTTCGTTTTTTTTTTTTACTAACTTTTACCACACTCAGACCATCTGACCTAACTCCTAAACTACTTATCTATCAAACCAATCAACGCATGACTTTTTCTCTAATGGTCACTGTGTTTACCACGTTACCGACATTAGGTTTTTGTTATAAATAAAACATATATTTTTTGATTGTATATAAACAGCAAATGGTACTCAGGTCGTGTTCCGTTAAATAACTGCACTTCTGACCACTTTAGGTTGAAAGAAAGCATTGAAACATTCTATGGATATTTATTACTTGGAAAATGTTATCACGGCGAATTTGGCTATTAGGTATATTTGTTTGTTTTTTTTCCAGAGTAGCTACACTAATTGTTTATAAAAATGAGTATCACTGTTAATTTTATAATATAATATATTTTATACTATAAAATCAACGGTAACACACTCTGTACAATTCCTGGTCAATTTGGCGAGACACTTTGTTAATTATTACTATTATTATTATAATGTTAATAAACCGCTTTCGAGTTGCTCTGTACCCTGTGTACAGGCACACTTAATGAAATCATTACGTTGTAATTTATTTATGTGTATATTTACTTGTCGTTATGGTTTTAACGAAAAATAATTATATAATTTATAAAAATTGTATTAAAAAAAAAACCAAAGCTTATATTTTATTTTGTTATTTGTACGATGAACCGATTCCAAACCTGAAAACACATTTTGTTCTTGCCTAAATAATAGATAACTTAGAAGTAGGTCTACAACTGGATTTATATTGTACTGGTTATCATTTAAACATAAATGTATTGTATTTTCTACCGTAAGAATGGCAATGGTAATAAACGTAGCAGGAAATGTGGGGAAGAAAAAGACCAAAAAAGAGGTGGTTAGATCATATTATATGCATTGCTAGTATATGTGGGGTACGATGTGGGTGATCCTGTCAAGTAAAGTTTAGGACAAGTGTGGCTGACCTCAAATACTTGGGATGGAGGCTAAAAATAAGAAGACTGTCTGGAGTTCTATAGATATTCGATTGAGTTAAAGTTCTTTGGACGAATAGAAGAAGAACGTTATTCGAGTAAAAATGCCAAAAACAAAACTGTATTTTTATACTTAGATAAATTTGAATGTGCTGAAATAATTGGTTATTTCCAGTTAATTTATTATTAAAAACAAACGTGTGTACTTTATAACGTTATATCTCATTTGATGCGATACCTATGAAATATAGACTAAGAAATTTAAATAACCTATCTGAAATCTACTTGGTAGATCTGGGTAAATGTATAAATTATTTTCAGTGGCTACAAAGGAGAGAACTATGGGTGTCGAAGCTCCTCCCATTAGGAGTACTTAATTTGTATTGCATTGAAAATGTATTTTTATGTTTATTTTTTTATAATATAATATATTAGAATATTTTTAACCTATTGCTTAAATGTATTTGAAGAGAATTTTTTTCTAGCCCCTCCCCTTTTTGTGTATTCATAGATTCGCTCCTGAGCAAAACTTTCTTCGTCAAAATGGATTGTGTACAACACAGAATGGGTATTTTGTTGTTGTTTTACCTTTATAACACTGTTAAAGCACAATTTGATTTTTAAAATTTATTTACTCCACAAATAGTTAAACTCAAAATCATTATTTTAATTTTTTTTTTTTAATTTAGCAATCTAAATAAATATGTCACCCTATCACTTTTTTAAATTAGTAAATTTTACTCGTTTACTAAATACTTACCACAAAATATTACCTCTTTATCATATGGTAACTCATTTTGAAGAAGTTATAGTATAAAACTTAACACATTATTTACAAATATACATAAAAAACCATTATAATAATAATAGTACATAATTTTATGACACCTAAATGGGTCCTCAAACGGACACCTAAAACTAGTAGTTCTCATATTATGCTCGTTGATATTTTTTTTTACTTGCAAAATGTCTTAGGTATAGCATCGAATTCATTGTGTATACAGTATAATACTATGATGCGAATACATCATCATAATGTATAAAATTCTATAAACTGACACTGAGTTATTGATTTAGTACCAAAACACTTCGTTTTCATATTAATTATACATTGTAATTTAAATAATATGTAGGCTGGCTCATTCGATTCCAAGTGTTGTTTGGTAAGACACCAACGATTTTTATGTTCTTTTATTTTAACTATTAAGGAAAACGAGCAACAGAAAACCCAGCGTTGGCCTAAAAATATTGTTTTAAATAATGTATAATGAGTACACAAGAGTAACCATGTGGGTTTCTTTATATTAATTGTAACATTTAGCTGTTTTGTTATATAACGTGTGGACCGAATTGCCTTGCAAACGATAATAATCAATTGTTTATTACCTGATGAAATGTTCAAGATCACTCAGCTTGTGGGAAATTACTTAAACCTCATTGGCTAGTAAAAGTTGTAGACATAAATAAAATCAGCTAAATTAGATTAGGTTTATAACTATATCTAATATTAATTTCCTGTAAAATTCTGGTTTCTGATCTAATACGCATTAACGAGTGCCATAGTTATAATTTATAGTATTTATTTTTATACTCATTTGAATATTTTATACAATATAAAATAAATAAAAAGTACTATTAAGAAAAACACATATTTTCTTAATTAGTTTTTTTATACTAAGTAAGATTGTTTTTGTGATGCAAAGCTGTGAAGGTATTTATTATCCACCGTTTTTTTTTTTGTAAAATTATTGTGTTGAAAATTTACCATATATTTTCATTCATTCCACTTCATTACATAATTACTGACCAACATATTTTTTCCACGCCCCTTTTTTGAAAGGTGTAAATTATACTTAGTTGTCTTAACAGTGTATCATATGTGTTTTATGTTATGTGTATAATTAGACTAGGGAGGTATTATAATATTGATATATACATACATAAATAAGTCTATATAGCCAACATTTTATAGTATAAAACAAATTGTGATAATGACTATAATTTTTAAATTCATAAACACATAATTCAGTTATTATTTACATAATATTATGCGTATTGTACTTTGTGTTTATTAAAACATAACGATTTGATTAAGTATACATACATTAAGGAGCAAAGTAAATATACCATCGAACAACCTACAATTATTATTGTTAAGCCTCCAAAGGACGTAAGATCATATTTTAATAACTGATTTATGATCTTGACCTTGTCTAATAATATTATACTTACATGTTAGAAAATACTGCACAATTCAAGGTGTTTAAAAATAGTTTTTCATTTAAAATCCCATTATGCTAATTATTATTGTCGTTAATACCCATTAAGGGTATTATACTAATAGTAATTTTTATTCACAAACGGTAATATTCAAATAATTAATGCGTACAATACAGTGTCTTGTGTTTATAAATGTACCTATGTACATTCAATTTTGCGTTTTAAGGATTTTCAATTCGTTCAGTAATTCAGTGGTTTAATATATGACACTTAACCGCTACTGTGTTTTTTTTTTTTTTGTAAAATACTTGAAGCATAACGAGTTTTGATTGGAATATTTGGGCCGCCCAGCGAGGTAAGAAATACACATTTCCAAATATGGAATGGCCAAAAAAAACTTAGAATAGACCAAGAACTAACATTATAGTAGATTGCTGGCAGTATGATGGTATATAATATAATGTTGTTACTTCTTAAATTAATTTTTACTCCAATAAGTTGTATGTTTTATTTTCGCATGATAATTGAAGGTTTAAGTTTAGAATTTTAAGCGTTTAACAGTAGTTAAACCACTTACAAATTTTACATTATAGGTACAGACAATTATTTGGTAATTGTGTTAGTAAAATGCAGTATTATATTATATGTTTATATTTAAAGTTTAAATTACAGGTCTTAACTCACTGGAGGAAATTTGGGAGCGGGGGGGTCTTGGCATACAAAAATCTTAAAACCTAAAATTATTGCTATTCAACTTACCTTAAGTTTTATTTCGAAAATTCTCTCGCTAAAAAATAAATGTAGGCTTTTGAAAAGCACTAATTTTAAGTTTTTTAGCCAAGCCTTTCCCTCTTCTAAATTTTCGTCAATTTAATTAAAAGAACAAGTAAACGATCTTAATTTCTACTAGTTAAATTTTTTTCCTTCTAATGAACTGCATTGAAAGCGGTTTGTTTTTTATATGTTTTAGACCAAAAAGTCTAACAAAATTATTGCATATATATATATATATATATAAACTCCTTAAAACCCTTCCTCTTTCAATCCACTTAACCGAAAAGTAAAGTAAAGTGTCATAAGCTGTAATTACAAAAAAAATTAAATACACTTGTGGTTCATGTTTCAAGTGACTTCTATTCAGTGGCACCGTCGAGTCGTTCTAAGTACGGTATAATATAATGTACCTAAAGCAGGTACTACACAAGATGCAATAAGTCTTTTGATGCTTGTCATTGATTTTGCTGGAATCCATAATCCGAGAAGCGTTACGAACGGATTTGGACTTAGGTATTAGGTTCATGCACAAGATACAATAAAAGCAGAAAGAAAACATTATGTCGATGCATCCCAGTTCAAACATGATAATATTATAATACTTAAAAGGTTTTTAGCTACGTCCAATAGAGCGAATGATTAAAAGGTCAACGACAGTTGCACATTGGATTACTGCACTAGACGATGCGTATCATATAATGGGCGTGTAACAATAATAATAATAACGATTATTATGTCGACAGTTGACGTTAAACAAGGCCGGTATAATGCAGCCGGATCAAATCGTCAGGTGTCAATTTTTTAATTGCTCCAATACCTATTTGATCGGATTCAAAACAACAGAGTAAAGGCGATTTTCCAAAACCCAGATTTCCCACTCCTACAACGTCCTTGGCCACGGTTTTCGCGGTAGCCACGGTTTGCGACCGGCCGGTCAGTCGTTTATTATTAAATCGGATTTACCATTTATTCGACAAACGGATAGTGCCTAGCGTCCGGTGTGTGTGTGTGGACTCGTGCGAAGGTTTTTGGAAAGTAGGAAATCTAAAATTAATATTAATATAATAATATATTGTGTACATATTTTGTTCTGCACGTTGGTAACAGCAGCAGCAGCAGCTGTACGTAGTTGATTATTATATAATACATAGAAGGTGTATCGCCCGAGACTTGTGTCGCATTTCCTTCAGCACGACCTTGGCCAATGAACTAGTTACCGATTATTTTTCCATCGCACATTTTTTTGCCGTCCGGTCGACCTCTTGTAATCGGTTTGTCGTAGCATGTGTACAACCGCTGCAGTGTAATTGTACATACATATCACATGATATATGGGTACTACATAATATTTATTATTATTTATATATTGAACTAATGTGCTATCACGGCACAGCCTTCGCAATCGCATATCTTTGCAATGAACGTGTGTGCACGTTAACGTTGCCAGGGCATCGTCGACGCACGATGATATTGAATAATTTTGAAAGCGACGAACATATTATTATGAATGGTGTTGGTAAAATATAATATAATTTAATAATTATGATTATTAAAAAGAGGGTGAAAAAAAATGTAGT